AGCGAAAGCAGATCACTGGTGAGCTCATAATTTGCGCTGCTTTTAAACCCATATATTTGGGTTGTGGTTCCCATGGCAACATCGGGACATTATTGATTTTTACTTGTATATCATAAAGGCCCTATAATGATTCATATACACTAAATAAATAAGAGCCTGGCTTCAAATATAAAATTAATATGCACCCACATCATTAAAATAGTCGCCTACCCATTTAGCGCTTATGAGCGTTAAAATGAGCGGGAAAAAGAATGAAGTTTCAACTCCAGTTGTTTCCATTAAAATAACGGAAAGACTTATTGTCATACGAAGTACGCCACCCAAATTTGCCGCAGCTCCGATTAACGCATACTTTCCGGGATTTAAAAAGTGCTAAAAATATGTATTGTTATAAGTAAAAAGTAATTGATTTATATTAGTTAATTCATTTACAGCTTGTGGGAAGAGATAGTAAAATATAGCTGCAACAAGTCTTCCCCATGCAGCACCTACAAGTGCAGTTGGTATGAATACTCCCAATGAAACATTTAAGCCGAAAGTAAAGCAAGATAGGAAATAATATATGATTGTAAAAATAGTTAATGTCAGTATTTTATGTGAGCCTGAAATATGTCAATTATCAGAAAATATATTTATAATTGATTTCATTTTGCTATTACCTGGAGGATCATGGAAAAGTGCTCTGACAGTTGCTTCCGGCGTTTGAAACCAAAGTGCAGCCACTGCATTATACTCATTGTCATCACAAAACAACTGATATAAAAGTAATATATAAACATTTTTTACGCACATTTTAAATTTTATAATTATATTTTTTTTTTATACCTGCACAGGATAGTCAGTAGGATCATTTCCTAACTGTCGGCAATCGTTTATAAAATAAATCGATGTGCATGCTAATGTTACTCCCATTAATGCAACAAATGCTGCTTCTACAACTTTAGCAAACTTAAATTTAATAAAGCGACTTCGAAAACGATTGATTTTTGTATTTATTGAATTCCAAATAGCGCCCAATAGACCGCAAGATACACCCAATAATAAAAATATAGGTAATTCGAAATATTCAAAAGTCAGCGGTTGATCGAATTGACCTAAGTTAAATAATCCAGTAAAAGTGAAGTTATTTAATCCATGATAAGCCGATAAAACAATATTTAAAGTAAATGAACTAATAATCGATGCAATCAAAGTACGCCAAATCAAATTTTGATTCCAGAAACTAGCGGCTTCTTCAAGTGAAAATAACATTCCACCTATAGGAGAGCCGAAGGCAGCAGCTACACCAGCTGCGCTACCTCCTAGAACAAAATCACGTTTCTCATGGTCATTACGGAAAGCTTGATATATGCCGCTATCAATATTAAAACTTGTACTTTTTCCTTGCGATATACCAGCAGCTACAACAGCACCTGCATGTATCATTGGTCCTTCCTATAAATGAATATTAGTTAAAAAAACTTTACTTTAATTCATAATTTATACACATACCTTTCCGCCAGCTAAGCCACCGACAACAGATGTGATTACACCAATGGCTTTTACGGCTAGTGTTTTGATCCGAACAATTCTTGGTATTTTGACGCCATTTAAATATGCTTTTACCTGTGGTATACCACTACCAGCTGTTATAGGCTCTATATATGTTACCAAAGTAGCGCCCAGTGCAACAGGTATCACACTAACAGTCATCCATAAAAGGTATGGTATAACTAAATCCCCACCCATACCAGTGGAAATAGGTACATTTGCATCAACGGCTAAAAATAAAATAATTAAGAAAATTAAAGATAATTATAATTATGTTCATTAAATAAATGTCGTATAAATAAGAAATAAGTAATTGAGTTACCGATCAGTAATTATTTAGTAATTAAAAATAACAGATTGACTGCGAAAGAGTTCTTTTAGGATCCCACTGGCATATAAAAAGTTACTTGATTGCTCTTTGGTTATAACACACGAAGACAAAAATTGCATTTCCGAAAATACTTATTATTGAAAAATGACATGGTAATAGCTTGGTACGCAGTCAAAATGCGTATTGTTTTTTTTATTTATTTACATATACTCTACTTACTACATGAGTACTAGCACTTTAGAGAAAAGTATACGTGTATTCGAACTTAGAGATGAAATAGATTATCTGTTTGAAAACACATGAATTTGCTTAAAATGCAAATTTGCTTTATATTCAATTTTGCTATTCTTTTATACAAATATGTATAAAAACAACTACTGGATGTTGACTCACTTTTTCTTATTGAACTTTTATTAATCTATTTATTATTATTTATTTACTAAACATATTAACACTCAAAGCGTTACTTACATTTTTTGAGGAGTTCGTATTTTCGTGTTGATAATGCTTCAATTATAATGTCAATAACACAAGCTACTAATGCAGTTATTACACCAATTTTTATAAAAATAATCCAACGTAAAATATCTCTCTGAAGATGAAAACGTCTAGTTTGAGATTTTCTTTGAGCATTTCGGTAAAGTTTATTTTCACATACTTCATAATCTAAACTCTGTAAAAGAAAAATTTAAGCTGGTTTATGTTTCGTATATATTATTTACACTGGATATACTTCATATATGCTATTCGAATTTCTTTGGACATTCTCTATGGCTGTAGTGCGAGATCTTACATGGAAGCTTGGACTGTGGTCCTCTAAATGCATAGAATTGCTACTATTACAAGGTAAATGTCGTCGTCTAACCCCTGATGTTGATGGCTGGAAAGAAAATACATTGCTAATGAAAAGTTCTTGGTTTAGTAATAAATGCGAAGCTGTGTTACCTTTTCTTTGTCTAAATTATGATACGAATCTGATTCACTGTCGCTAGTATCTATGTGTACTAAAGTGTCTACATCCTTCTTATTACTTTTAGAAAGTTTGACCTCATCTTCTGTATCTGATTCACTATTTATACACGCTAAAGTGTTGACATCTTTGTTAATTTTTCTATCTGTACATAGCAATTCTTCGTCGGTTGTAACTTTGTCGGTCTCAGTTTGAACTTTAATATTGTTTCTTGCTGCCTCTTGCTCTTCATCGGAAATTGTATCATCAACAAGCAATACTTCGTCCACTTTTGGTTTCATTGTTAATTTCAGTACTATGTTACTTTGCTTTTAAATTAAACATAGATATTTTGCTAGTGTTTTAACTCGCATATATATATATAAACTTAACAAGAGCCTTTTCTTTGTATATTAGTAACTCACTAATTTTATTATTATATATATTTTGTATATATTGTATATATAACACAATAAGTCATAAATTATTAAAAATTGCGAATATTGATACGTACACCCCCAAAATATGATATCAACAAATGCGAGACTGAAATTAGTCCAAGGTTGCATTTCTACAAAAAATTCATAGTAAAAATCAAATCTTATAAAAAGACTTGTAATGTTTTTTCTATTATGTTAAAAATGTTATGTTAAAAATACTCCAAAAATAATAGTTAAATAGTTAGTTAATATTTGAACAAGTGATTTATATATATATGACAAAAAGGGAAAATGCTATAAAAATAACAACTTTTATTTTTAAAATATATTTTATTAGGCAAATTTCTTTATTCCTTAAATATTGTTATAATGACAACTGCATACTTAGGACGTGTGCGAGATAGGCTAAAACAAATGGGAATTTTTTTGGGTTTTTTTGCACTGCACACATTTAGCCATTTATCAACACGTATCGACACATCACTACATTATTGTTTCTAGACAGTTATTAGTAAAACAATTTTTAATTAAAATAACATACATTTAAACTCAGATTATGTAAAGTAAATTGAAATTTCCTAGAGATTTTTGCACTGCACTTATATAAATATTTATTTTTTTGCTCTTGTTTATTATTTTTGGTTGAAAGTTTTCAAATTTATTTATTAAACATCTTTTAAAATTTTCGCAATGGTAACACATAATTTATCTTATTTATATCTAATTTACTCTACTCGAAATTCTGGTAAATACCGACATTCGCTGCCATACCGACATAATTTACTATTTCGCTGAACTTGTCATTAATTTACTCGAACTCACATACGGCTTATGCTTTGATCAGGTATAACTTTATTTATTAAATTCTATAATTGATTCTTCTTAATCGTTAAATAAAGACTGGTTGCTACAAAAAATTTAATATGAAGTTGGAAAATAAACGATGCTAATAATAAAGTGATTTTCGAATGCAATATGTGTAATATAGTTTTCAGCAAAAAAGCGGATAAGATTAGGATAAATGACGCATTTGATTATGAAACATATGATCTTAATGAGAACGGTGAGATCTTGAAACTATTTATAAATAGTTATTGAATTTTGAAATATTATATATATATATATATATGTAATGAAAAACCTATGATATGCTTCATCTAGACGAATGTAAACATTTTCTAAATAATTTAATTTCAATTATTTCCTAATGACGTATTGTCTGTCTAAATATAGTACAAACGGGTATTAAAACAGTTTTAATGCATAGACTTTTTTATAATTAAAATTTTTCAACAGCCAATTTAAATTTAAAAATTTGTCTTTTTGATAGAATTCAATAAACATACAAAAATTGTATTTTATTAAGTTAAAATGATTTAGTATAATATATACTAAATAGTATATGATTTAGTATACTATAAGGTTATATCGCTGTCAGAATTTGAAATAGTTCTCCAACTACAAAAAAAGCCAATTTATATTATATCGGTATATGTATAAGTAGAAGGTTTTAACATATTCAAAGCTGTAAAAATGTAATCAAAATTACTCAAATATTTAGTGATAAAAACCTATTGTTAAAGAAGCAAATTGATATTAACGAACGGATCGGAAATAACTTAATGCTAAGAGAATGAAAAAAATTTTCTGCTAATATTTACAATATCAAATAATATTTAATTTTTAATAAAAATTACAATATATACATATTACTTTATTTTTATTCAAAATAACTCTTATATAGGGAAAAATTTATTTAAATTTGTATTATATTTATTAACTATTTAAACACTTCACTTTTATTAAATTCCACCTATAAGATGAACAACACGATTTTTATAACGTTTTGAGATATCTTTCTCAATTTTGAATTGTAGATCTTTTGTTTGTTTTGTTAATTCGGCTAATACCGGAGTTAATTCCAGGCGTTGCTGTTTTAGTTCAGCCGCTTGGTCTTTTAGTGTTTCTTTTGTTGAACGTATTTTTTCAACACCCTTTGTCATATGATCCAATTTTGAAACCAACAAATCTGCATATTTAGGGGAATGCTTTAATTGGAAGAGATGACGTGTTTGTTCACAATTTATTTCTTGTAAAATTATGTCAACATTTTTTAGCATTTTGACAATACTTTCAGTATCATGTGTGGATATATTGTCGGATAAAGCAAACATAATATTATTACTATTATCAAGCTGATTTAGTTCAAACAATCGCATACGCAAATACGCTTCCAGCTCATAAAGTTCATCCAGAATACGATTTCGGTAATTTGGCGCATCCAATAATGTATACGCTTGTTCACCTATTTCAATACAATAATCAAATAAAATTTGAATTTATATCTTATAATTAATTAAATCACCTTTAGCTACTCCACCATCCATTCCAACACCTTCCACAACAATTCCATACTCCTCGATGGGTACATCAAAACTTACTTCAACATTGTCGGCTGCACTGGTTTCAATACCCCAATCGATTTCTGCACCTTCTGTTTCACTTAAATCATAATTTACCGTATTGTTTTCTAAATTTAAGTCTCCGAAATCGATAATTTCAGCAGAAATAGTTGAAGAAGTTCCGCCATTATCGTCGCAACCAAAATCAATTTCATTTTCGGTTGCAACGCCAGAATTTGAAGAGTTTCTGTTTGTTATGTTTAACTTTAGAACTGGCTCCTCAACAGATAATGGAGCCTCTTTATGTATATACTGGTAAATCGTTGTGTTTCCAAATTCAACTAAGTGTTTAAGTAGAGGTAAACATACCTTCTGTTCTGAACAGTCTGCATATAAATCTATGGCATTTTCTATATTATTTACATTACGAATAGATTTTTGATAAATTTCAGGCAATGTGTTTAGTACATTTATAAATTCTTCCTGTAAATTTAACCCTTTTACGCCAAGTTGTTGTAGAAGCGCAGTATGTTCTGCCTGTATTTGAGTTTCAGGCTTAGCAAGATCTTGTATTCGTTTTAAGCATTCATCAGCTTGTTGCTCCAACTTAATCATCTGCTTTTTAAGGCCAGGTATTTCATAATTATTGTTACGTACATAAATTTGTGACGTTTCAACTAGATAAATATTATCCTTCTCATACAATCGCACAATTTCTTGCCAATCCTTCATGCGTTGACTGCCATAACTACCGAATACGTTTTTCGTACCCTTTTCAGTTTCTGTCAGAATTTCCACAATTTGCTTGCAGTGAAAATAGTTAATATCTATATTAAAAAATTGTTTCAGTACAAACGACTGCAATTAATAAAACCTACTCACTTGTTCCGGTTAACAACTTTATTAGTTGTTCATTTGAAGGCATATCCTTTAAAGCATTTGTTATCTTGTTACGGATATCCTTTAGTTGCATTTGTATATTCTTTGGGCCAATTTTTCTGCTGACCAACCAATCATGCAGTTTATATATGTGTATATCAATAGGAATATCAGCTTCCTATTGTTAAAATTTTAATGAAATATTTAATAATTATTAAATATACTTACATTCATCTCGGCACACTTGTTTTGTCCACGCAAACAAAAATATAATAAAAAATAATTGATAGTAAAGCAGAGTCGTAATAAAATGTAGTAAAAAAATACCTTTTCCAATTCACCATATTTGCTATGCAACATTTCAAATCGTTTTTTCTTCTTCACTGACTTATTTTTTTTCGGCATGTTAATTGAAATTTTTATTAAATTTATATATGTATTTACTTATTGAACTTTTTTAAAAAAAATATATAGTTCATTATAACAAAATTACAAATTTTTATAGCTGAAAAATTTTGTTTCGATAATTTAAAATGTCAGTTTTAATTTTTAAGAATATAAGATAATGATTATTTTAATTGTTTTCTACATTACTGCGTTTTTAAAAATTATTTATTGTTATTCTCATATTATGACGCGATTATCATTCCCTGTAAGGAATGAATTAGAAGATTTCTGCCTGTGGTTCGTAAGGAATCAGGTGTGTCTAGATTAAATATATATGAAACCATTTATTCTGTTGGGGTAAAACTTTGGATTAAGTGAACGCGTTACCATTGTGCACAACATAATTAGTGCACATAATTTAGTATATATTACATAAATAATTTATTAAAATATAAGTTCTCCTATGCCATACCAACACGATAGTATAAAAACAATTCTTATGTTATTTATATATATTTTGCATATTTTTTTTTATAAATGTAATAAAAATTGTCACAACCAAATTTCAAATTGCAATTGATCGAGTTAGGCTTCATGAGTAGACAAATATGTGAGTAATAATCATAATCACGACGCTTCGGTTTAGTAAAATAATTTATTAATGTTATTTTTCTATATGTTCTAAATCATAAAAACAAAAAATAAACTTTAAAGTTATAGTTTATAATTCGACAAATAGGGTTTATGAAGGGCCCGTTGGGACCTGTAAGTTGATAATATAAAAGGATAAACAAGATGGTTACATGGGTAGAGAAGTGAGTGGGTAGTAGTTGGGGGGAGCTGGAGGGAGGAAAGAAAATGGGAAGGATTGAGTGGATGGAATATATTTGAACGTTAGTCTGAATCCAAGCGGAGATATCTGGCTACTTCGATGGTGTGTGTCCAAAGGTCAATTAGACGGAGGTTTGTGAGTGCGGTGGGGCGGGACAACAAATGGGTGACATCATGGGGAGAAGAGTTGGAGTCAGGGCACACATTTGGAATAGATGTTTTTATGCGTGACAAGTAACTGCTTAGCACTCGACAGTATCCTGATCCCAATCGAACTAGGACAGTTCGTGCTGCACGGTGGAGGTGTCGTTATTTCAGCGAGATGGTCAGGTGGAGGCGTATTAAGAACCTTGTTGTCAGATAACCTTGGTCTTGAAGAGGGTACTATATCTGTGTGGAGAGTTACTTCACGTTTATATTTGACTTCACTGATGTTAGCTCCATTGTAAAGGATGTCGATATCGACACGATCTATGGTAAGAACGGAGGGAGGGCTCTCCTAGCCATAAAAACAAAAAATAATCTTTAAAATTATAGTCTACAATTCGATAAACAAAATTTATAAAGGGCTTTAAACTAATGTCAGTGTACATGCTCAATGATTCTCCAGTTATTCATTATCCATTTTTATTTCTGCTATATAGCTAGTAACGACCCACCATCATAATTTTATAGCAATTCTTCATACGGTTGGGAATTCCGCATATAATATTAAAATCAATTATATTTGTATTACACATATAAGGTATATTTTTTTTTCATTAATATTTTATACATTTTCTTTTAATTACAACATCTAGAATTGGAAGTAGTTTTTAAATTGATCAATGCAATATATCAATATTTAATACATCAATTGTAAATTGTATGAATTTGTTAAAACTGCTTTAAGATGCGAATAATTCACTTTAATATAAAATAGATTATTGAAATGTATGCTTGGTAACAACAAATAAATTATTATAGATAACTTTATTTTTACTTTTCAGAATCACTTTCTACAAGATATTTAAATTCGATAGACCACCAAGGATAGACGGCATTACACAACGCATGTGGATACTTAACAATAGTTTTCTCATTACTAATTGTATCAGAAAATTCTAAACATATTCCTTTGATTCGCATACCTGCACCTAAAAATTTTTTCACAGATATCAGACGGCAAGCATTACAGTTTCCGTACAAAAGATGTGAAGGAAATGGTTTTAAATAATTGCAAAATATCGCTAATATCCATTCACCCTCATTTGGATTACAAAATTTAGGAATGGTTGTAGTATCATCCTTGTTGTGTTCATCTGATAACGACTCCCAATCATCTACCACTGCCTCGGTTTTTTTTGGCGTTTCAATAACGTTATGTGCGTAATGAGATTTTAGTTTAAAACACATAATATACAATTCGGTAACTTCAACGTACCAAGATGCACAGTATATGCGTCCTATTAAATATTGGAGAGAGTCGAAGCTATCCAGTCTTCCAGAAAGTGGCTCATAATATAGATAAAGATATTTTATAACATTAGCACGTAAGGATTTTATATCCGAAGGGCTCATATCTTTGATTTGAAATTGTGGAATTAACTTTTCGCAAATATCACCAGTTTTTTTCTTCTTATGTACATAGCGTTGATAAATGTTTTTCCAAAAGTATACGGAGTTTACCAATGCAGCTGTTTGTTTACAAATTAACGCAAAGGAACGTATGTCTTCAGGGGGTATATACTGAGACACATAGTACCAAATTTCTTCGGCAATATTGCAGCAATCCTCATTAAATTTATCTTTTTGTGCATTATTTGGTAATTTTTTTGTAGTGTTCTGAATTTGCTGTCTTGTAGGTTTAACTTTTAGGTAAATATTTTGTTGCAAGCTTTCTGAAAAGTTTTTTACATATATCTATAGTTATTTGTATGTTATTTTACAGTTTCTTTACTTACTCCGCTTGCCTTTACTGCTACGCAGTATTTGAAAATGTTCTTCCATTTCCATAAAAAGTATAATTAATAAACAATTACAATGTGAGAGTTTATAGTTGGGCTTTTAGTCTAAATAAATCTAACATTACATTTTTTTATCTCAATCAGCTGCTTCACAGACTGCCACAAAAATTTATCTGCAAGTGTTGTCTACCCAAAATATTATGTGTAATCATCGTCAATTTATCTTTATCAATTTGTAATTTGACATTTCGCAAAACCAAAAAGTTACGTCAAATAAAAATATAACTAAAAACAAATAAATACTTTAGAGTTCTATTTTAAATGTTTGGGAAAAATATAATTTCGTTATAATATTAATTACGAATAAGAGAATTGACGATTCGGTGCACAAAGAGCGTGAATATATTTAACTTGTTCGAAATGGCTGAATCGATTGTGCAAGACTGGCTAACAGAGTACAAACGTATCAAGGACGGACCTGTCGCAGATGTAACGGCGTTCGGATTAGAGAATGAAGCCGATCTTGAAATAGCTGAGGCTATTTATACGATATTTAATGAACGTCATAGAAATGACTCATTAGTTCATTCAATTTGTGTGCAATTGCTAGAATTTTACCGTGCGACTGATGATGCGCTGCGAAAATTTCCTTTGCAGTTCATACCAGTACTTATATACACGTACCTGCATTCGGTGTCAGCTGGTGATAAAAAAGGTTCTCGCAGCGTTGAAACACTTTTAATTTGCATTTACAACGCTGAGGTGTCTACGGAGGATGGGGGCAATCATGTAGAATCATTTCGTATGCCAATATTAGCGCAAGCTTCTGTGTATCATGAAGAAAAAAATTTACCTATGACCGACTTAAGGCGTTGGGAAGAGAACTGTAACCGGGAAGTTAAATGGGGTCCGCATTCTCAAATTGAAGCAATAACAGCACAGAACCGATTGCGTATTATGACTGCTTTATTATTTTGTTATAATCAGCATTTAAGTCAAATACAAAAGTCTGCATTAATTCATTTATGTCGCGTAGCATCTCAACTCGTAGCACAAGGCTTTTCAAAGCAACCTGGACACACGCATAGGATCTCATATGGGTAAGTGAGCCATTGCATTGCATTTTAAATTTAATGAGTCAAAATATAACATATATTTTAGTACCGATTCTGGAAGTGGATCATTAATACCAAAATCACCAACTCCGCGCATTCCACTTTCGTCTCAGTTTCTACTTGAACTTGTACACTCAATTTATTTTGCTATGTTTAATGGATTTGGTACAGTTGCTATACAAACATTGGAGGATATACATCATAGAGCTTGTTTTGAAATGTATACTGAACTAATACTTGTTACAAGTGCTGTACGTAATTCATTACATGCAAATCCATCTGGTCAACCTAGTGACGGGCCAATGGGTTTAAGTGTAGCTCTGACGCCAGCAACAAATACTGTTACCACTTCCGTGTCCAAATCTATGATCACAAATGCATCATTCCGTACGAAAAAACTGCCTGATGATATTCCAATTCAAGTACAGGATTTGACAATGCCACAAGCGCCTCCACTAGCAAGTGTAAGTGAAGAACAAGAACAAGGTGGAAAAGAACAAACACAGCAGTCTACACGCAATTCTATTATACGTCCAAGTATGGAAGGCATAAAAGCACAGGCACATAAAGCACTTATTGCTGGCTTTAAAAAATCAAAAGATAAAGAAAAAGATGGTAAGTCTGGCAGTAACATTCCATCAGAGCCACCTAAACCACCGGTACGTAAGTTTGATAAACACACACAGAGGAACTCGTTACTACAGTTACAAGCTGAAGCCCCACAGATAAGTAGTATGGAATATGAAAAAAGTCCATCGATTGCACTCAAAAACAAAGCATATGATTCACTTGAAACTAATGAAATGTTGCCAATGCAAACACTTTTAGTAAATGAGAGCGGCAGTGGCAGCTTTAGTATCGATAGCGAGCTCAATGGTAGCAGTAATGTAATCAACAACAACAGTGCTGCAAGTAATACTACCTCCTTAACCAGTAGCGATTTAATAACCAAAAGTTTTGAGTCGAACATTGAAATACCTACACTTGGCTTAAGTGGTAAAGCGGGTGAAGTTAGTGTCGAATAGTGCAGACAAGAGTTGGAATCTATGCTTCCAGTACTTTATAAATTATGATGTGTTTTTGCATACATTCTCGTTAAGTTTCACCAAATTGTGTTGTTTTAATGCTCAGATGTTGATTGCAGCATTAATGACTATAGCTGCAATATATGTTGAATATTTCTATTCATTTCAAATGATCCAATGGTGTAAATGTGGAATTGTTAGAAATAAATTGTTAAGGGTAAGATAAGTAAGCATATTTGTTGTAAAGGTAATATAACTAATATTTTAATGGTTTTAACAAAATAATTTTACTTAATACATATTTGTTATTGAATTTTAATAATTAATATTTTAACTTTTATCTTATTTATAGTATTAACCAATTATAAAATGAATTCCAAATTGTTGTTTAGCCATTTACAAAGGCAAATATTAAAGCATTCATATTTTTACAATAAATAATAAACAGGAACAGTGAATAATCAGCATTACCAAATTGCAATCTTATTATAAGCATTAATTTATTTAAACCAAAAATATACATATAAAATATAAATGTATTTATTGAATGTTGATATATTATTACGGTTTATTGTAACTAATTAAACATATATATATTTAAATACATGTAATGTGTAAAAAAAAACAAAACAAAATGCAAAATGCTACGTTTTTCTAAATTTACTTTGCAAGAAAATTCGAGGTACGTCAATGCCTTCCTTATAATTCAAAGTTCGTCTGTGAACATAACAATTCGAAATAGTTTCAAATTGATTGCTTTCAAACAGTTCAGATAATTCACTTTCCGAAAAGTAGTAACTACGTGTGCCATCTTGTCGCATATAAAGATTTTCTGCAATTTTATGCCCTGGTTTGAATCGTAACTGTGCCATATCATATCGACCGTAATCACGGAAGAGTACAATGCCATTTGGTTTCAATAGTTCCCTCAAGTTCTTCACAACAATTGGAAACTTTTTCGGATTTATTGCTGACAAGACGAACACCATTGTGATAATATCTAGCGAAGATTTTGGTATAGTATCTAATAGTTCTTCAGTGGTTATATCACATTGAAATGCTTTCATACAATTTTCATCGTATAATGAATTCGTGCGTACAAATTCTATTGCACGAGGTGAAAAATCGCAAGCGTAGTAGAAAAATTTATTTGCAAGAGTTTTATCCTCGATTAGAGGATATATAAGATTACCAACCCCACAGCCTACTTCCAACATATATCGTTTTTTTGAATTTGTGGTAGTACCACTGTCAGTGTCGCATAATAATTCCGTAAACTCTCTTGTCGTCCAACGCCGGTCTTTAAAAAATCTAGTTTCATTCCTTTTATAGAAAAGATCCCAATTCCTTTGTGCTTGCAGTTCCAACTCTTTTGCTTTAAAATCAGATACCAATCGTTTATCTTGCTCATGTAAACGTTGCTTTTCCTCATCTGTAAGACACTTCTCATTATTTGTAAATATGTCTTTAATTAGTCCAGTTTCATTATCCTCATTCATATTTTGGAAAGGGCAAAATACGTGTTCGGATATCCCAATTTGTGATGCACTACGAATACCAGGCTACTTTAATATTATTCCTACCTACAAACTTGAAACGATTTTTGTTGAAAAGCAGAATGGCACTGCCAGCATGAAAAATCTATGAGATAAACAATGATTTCATACAATATTTGCGTTTTTTGGTCAATTTTGTATGTAGTAGATGTAGAAACTCAATTATTATTATTATTGTTAAGGGATGTGACTCTGCGACTGTCGGATCAATTGTGCTCCTTCTGGGTTTAGAGTAGGTCTCTAAGTCCTCTTGTGTTAATATAAAGTAGCATAGAACCTACTTTTTAGAGTTTTATTGCCTCTATCATAAGAATATACATTCCCAGTAGTCTATTCCGTTTGTGTATTAGCGCAGGGCATTTTAACAGCACATTTGTGGTAAACTTCTCATTCTATTCACGGAATCTACAGTTTGCATCCATAAGTATTCCCAGTCTTATTAAACATAACCTACCTTAGACATTTTTTCAGAAAAGCGTTTTTTGTGTTATTTGCAGTGTTTTGTAAATTGAGTGTACGCGAAAAAATGAAATTAACGCGAGAAAATTTTCGTGCGATGATTTATTACGACTTTCGACGTGGATTACCAAGACAAGTATGCATCGATTAACTTACTTTCACATTTGGCGATGAAGCTACATCTTTTGCCACTGTGAAACGCTGGCACATTGATTTTAATCGTAAACAGTTATAAAAACTAATTTTAATTTTCAATTTAATTCAATTATATATAGGCGCAAGATCTTGCATTATTATACAGCAAAATTGTTCCAAACAATATGTCACCGTGTCACCACAATGTGCTTCGAAAGTCTGTACAACTACATAAATTTTAGACAATCTCTAAAAATGACAATCGAACATTGACAAAATTCGATAATAAAACTTGACAGATCTAGAGTAAATCCAGATTGAATCCAGATTTATCAATCGAAAACACCATTAGATTATATTGAAAACTTTTGCGTGACCATTACTGTTTACATACGGACTTAACGGTATAGTTAGATCATTAAGTTCTTCACACTATGCTTCTGAAATATTCCATGTGGTTAGCTTATTTAGTTTGCAATTGACAACGATACCCTTATGATCGAACCAAGAGACGAGATTTGTTAAACTTTGCATTTGGTTTAGAGAAAATACATAGAAATAAGTAAGCTTAGTTTTTGTATTTAAATATAAATAATAAATGTTTATCAAGATAAAAATATGTTTTATTTTATTTTATATAGAGTAATTCTAAAATGCATAAGGCAATCAAAATTATTACTGAAAATTGTGCAACCTATTTCTTTTAAATTACGTTTGTTGGAAGTGAAAGTTCAGTCTGGCAGTGCCATAGTATACCTTTAGCTAATTTGACATATAAAGAAATTAGTGATAATTGTAAGTAAGACATACGACTGACTGAGGAGTCAAAAATAACTTTTGCTGTTTTATCATAAAGTATTTTTTGTTAAAAAGACGCTGAAAATTATATTATTTTCCATAAGTTTAACACAGCAAAAATGACTGCTCCACGTCGTTTGCGAAAAGAGCTATCAGATTTGCAGACATCATCATTGAAAACTTTTCGTGACATTGCGACTGAGGATGATAATCTCTTGCGTTGGACCGGTCTTATTGTACCAGATAATCCCCCATACAATAAAGGGGCCTTCCGCATTGAAATAAATTTCCCTGCTGAATATCCGTTCAAACCACCAAAGATCAATTTCAAGACTAAGATATATCATCCCAACATTGATGAGAAAGGTCAAGTGTGTTTGCCAATTATCAGCACTGAGAATTGGAAACCAGCAACAAAGACAGATCAGGTAATACAGGCACTTATATCACTAGTTAACTATCCAGAACCGGAACACCCGTTGCGTGCAGATTTAGCGGAAGAATTTTTAAAGGATCGAAAAAAGTTTATAAAGAATGCTGAGGACTTTACACGTAAAAATAGTGAGAAACGTCCTGCAGATTAGGTATCCCATAACAACCAGCAAACATTTACAAACTATTCGATAGTATGCAAACCACAGACAAAGAGTTAAACAATGAACAGGAGCATTTCAAAATTCATTAATCGTAATATTTTGGTTTTTAGTATCTTACAAACTGGCGGATTAAATTCAAGTAAAACTAATTTAGCATAACAAAATTGTCTAAATTAATTATTAAATTAGAAAATTAAGTTAATTTCTTAATTTACTTTTTCAATTTGTTAGGGTGTTTTGTGTTTTGTTATCCTTTATGCTATTTGCACTATGTTTTAAAATGTCGTCTTATGCTTTAAAATTTCAAAAATAAAATTTTCATAAAAAATACATTGACTAGATAATGACTTCATAATAAAAATATATTTAGAGTTAATAATTTATCCAAACAAAATACTTTTAAATTTTTTAATTAAAATTTGATTGTTATATTCCATTATCCTATTGCCAAATTTATTCCTATGGAGTTCGCTTATATCTGTGAAACACAAAATTTGTTGTTTATTCGCAAGTGAGCCATGTAATGAGGTAATGGCATCTACAGCGGCATCGGTAAATCCATGTTCGTGTTCACATTTAATGTATATGGCATGCGTTGGATCGGTTGTAATTTTTAGCTCTGTGAATACATTTCGGCTTAAGAACCGTAATAACGAAACACTGAAATGCGTTAAAAAAGCCATGTTTTCGAAAGCAACTGCCGTTGGACGTAGTTTGTAGATTGCGTTTACAACAGCAATAAAGAAACTCAACTGCATATCTGCAAAGCTTATAAATCCAGTACTACAGAACGGTATTTCCACATCATTATTGATAATACATTTGGGCGAATTTTGACAGACAATGGGATAAGTAAGTAAATCCTGAAGTTTGTGGTAAAGCAGCAAGACAGGCAGTGAAACAAATAAACTGCTTTCCAGTTTTGCAACAGGTTTTCCGATATAAATTTTTAGTCCACAGTCAGATTTCTCTGTAGAACGTCTCAGTTCTTCATACAAAACACCGTTTTTGAATATAAATAACTTTTCAAGTTCGTTTACGGAGCTGCATAGTATATAAATCTGTTGTTCCTTTGGCTTAGTTTTAAGCTGTTCGCGTTCTGAGTACGAACCTTTATAAACGCCTGTTTTATAGCTGATTTCCAAGCTGTTCTCACATTGATGCAAAATTTTCAATTGCGCTGGAATGGACTTTAATTGGTAGCGCTTGAAGAACTCTTTACTCACTAAGCGGCGCATTGCATTGCTCCGTCGTACCATATATTTCGATTTTGATTCATACACGTAAATGTTTGACTCAATGGCCTGAATTTGATGGTTCATGAATATTCGTGTGCAGACTTCATGCTGCATTAGAAAATCTTTTGGTAGTTGTTTAAAGCCAAATATAGGCAGCAAATTGTTCTGCTCGTCTAAGTTTTTTTTCATTATTTTCAGAGTGTCTGCTAAATGTTTCGTGTCCTTTTTATAACCCAAACATATTATATAGTTTTCAGAATTCCCCCGCTTTGAGGTAGCTGGTTTGAACACATGCACTTCTTCGAAAACGCAATTTAACAAAAATAATTTGCTGACAGTAATCGCTTCAAAGAGCGTAAATAATTTAAGCACAAATGAGCCGCCGTTTCCTAATATCGTTAGAGCTGCAAATATTTCAGCAAAGTGCAGGATTGATGTGTTGGACTCTTGGCAATCGGGATTCTCTACACAATCAATGCTACCGTCTGCTGTGATGAGATCAGCGTCACCGTCAAAATATTCCAGGCATCTCTCGTGCATATGTTTAATGTTTTGGTTGCACATTATATTGCCTGTAAAATCTTCATGGAAGAGCCAATGATCAAGAGTTCTTAACATAAAGCGATGGTCACTAATCATTTTACCAAAGGGATTACCTTCATAATACGGGTTGAGTGTAGTTGATAGCCATTTCCACTCCACCTAAAGTCCAAAACTAAATATAAGTAATGTATGGTTATATTACATTTCAATTATTTACTTGCTCTTTATTGTGTGTGGAATATAAATAATGATTTAGTGCTGATATAAAAGCTCCTGGTGCTTCACACAAATGCAATGTATTAAGCTTTGGCTTCTTTACAAGTGGAAATTTGTGCAAGCACTCGTATAACTTACACCAAGCTATTGTTACAAATTCAGCATTGATTTCATTCTTGAGACGCCAAGTTATATCACCGGATGGGTCCATTCGCCTTGTATGTGTGCTCCATTCTTCAATCGCATAATCATTTAATTTACCTTTCACGCTATTAAGTGTCCTCTTAAGCTGCTGCAGCGTTTCTATCTGATAAAATTCCTGAAAGAGTTGTGCTGCTGGAGGTAGTACCCATTTTGAATTAGTTTTAGGTTTAATATAACCAAATTTTTTCTCAAACACTTGATTCACCTCCTCTTCAGTTATGTGGTCCGATGACGACGCCATTGCCGGCTTTGGTAAGTTTATAGATTCCACTTGCGGTAATACTTCGCATTTAGTTGCAGACATTTTTATGTATTCATTGTGTATATGTTAAATAGAATAATATTAACACAATTTAATTATCTAAGTAGAAATTTTTAATTTACTTAATAATTTTACTGCGCTTTAAACTTTTTAGCCACTCACAAACAAAAACAATAAATACGTGCACAGGGTGGCTCTAGCGCGTTGCATTTTAACAATACCGTAAAATTTTTTATCGTAAATCGTATTATCTCTGGAAAAAGTACACTGCAAGCCATAAGTTTACGGCGAAGTAATGAACAAATGTAATGTTTCTTGCAAAGAAACAGTAAATGAATGATAACAAGCAAAATGAAAATATTACGAACAAAATCGAAAGGTAACACAAGTGATAAAAATTATTTAACTAAATATGTACATACTTTTAAAGCACAAAATAATTTGGAAGCAAGAAATCCATTTAGGAGGAGATGTCATTAATGCTTATAACAGAAACAGTTATTTGTTTTAAGCGTGTTTATATTAACCCTATGAAAATACTTAGTTTTTCGTTAAAAAAATAACAACACGTTAAGATACAACAAGGTTATGTTACGTCTTATATCTTTATTTGTGTAGAAAGCTCTGATGTGTTATTCTGAAATACCATTTATTTTAAATTATATCTAAGAACTGAGCTCATTTTTGATAACAAAAATGAATTAGCTGTCAGCTGAGTTTTAGCTTTTAGCTTTGTTTGGAAGAAGTGAACTCAGATGTATGCATAATATTTACCACGTAAAGATTTGTTATGAAATCCGGATTGGAAAAAGCTATTGAAATAAATACAATAGTTTTATCTTAATCGATAATAAAGGTTAGCAAGATTCAAAACAACATCTGTAAGTTTCTGAATTAAGCTAAATAAAGAAATCTTTAACTATGCATAAAACGTATAAAATTAGGTCGATTAGAAAAATGGTTTATACTTTTGAGATATTCTTACTACTTTGTTATAATGTGTTTGAATAGCTAACAATCAAGAAAAAATCAAGAGATATTTTGTTGCTTTAAGCTACTATCTTTCGAATATAGTACATATTGTTTAGCTTTTATTTTTTCAATTATTTTTTTTTTAATAAAAAAACGTCTGCCTTGTTTCATGCGTTTGTGTTGGCATTCTTTATCATAATGTTCGCCAGAAATATACTGCTTCAGTTTCTCTATATATCGCAATGCTAATTACTTTCATACACCGTACTGTACCGCAGCAGTAGAACTCCACTAATCCGATTCCACTAAAATTGCGATTAATCCGGATTGTTGAGGTATTCGGATTACTTGAGTCATAATAAAGATTCTGGAAAATTCTTATGTATGTTTATATGTTTATTTTAATAACAGAAACTAAATAAAAATCCACTGCCCATTAAATTAATTATAAATTACACACATACCAGCATGTAGACATACATGTTGATAATCTATACATTTTTTGAAAGAGCAGCTCAGCCTGATTAAGATAATGTAATAACCTGCAGATAAGCTAAACAATTCATGCCGAATTGATCAAAAGCCAGAACTAAGCAGCTTCTAATGCTGAACAGATATGGCATCCGCCTTGTCTCAGGGTTTCTCACTGAACATTGCGGAGTAAATAAGGTATTAAAAGAGACGATAGCTGCAGATTTTGTTGCGAAGAAGAGGAAACAGCGGAACACATTCTGTGCCACTGTGATAGTCTCGCCAGACTCAGACTCAGATTCATCAACTTCATATCCACTTATAACGGAATTACGCAACATCTTTCCAAAGGACATAATGTGTTTCTAAACTGCTATTCGTCTATGGAATTACAGTGGGTGTGTCACAATAACCCTTAAGGGATGCAGTGACGTAGTAACAAGTTCTCAACTCGTTTAAAATCTATCTATCTAACCTATAAATGTAATTTATTTATTTGACTGTCGCGCAGATATGTTCATAGCATGTCATCCAGCTTAGAGAGTTAGTATTCGATCTGGATTACAAGGCACAAAGTGCATATTTTGTATTTTTTAATTTTGTTCGGATTACATGGAAATGTGAATTTCTAGAGATTCGGGCTAGCGGAGATCTTCTGTACTTTTAAACAGTTCTTCTTTTTTAATTGTTATAAAATATATTTATTACAATATTATTTATTGTAATAATTATTGTAATTATTAATAAAAATATTATTTATTACAAATTGTTTTATAATTTGCATATAAAAGTAAAATTTATTACCCCTTTCAAGCCCAATATTGTCTGTATGGAAAACAATTAAAAAAAGACTCAAGATTATCTTTTGTTATTTTTTGCTTTTGTCTTTTGTACTAATGAAATTAAGGACAAAGCAATAATATCAGAAATAGTTTATATATATATTAAGAAGTAAAGTGTCTTAAACATTTTTATGTCCTCTCATTTTGATTTGACGTTAAATAGTTAAGTTTAAATTATGTTCAATGTTCTCAAAATTCAATTATGCAGCTTTTATGCAGCATTTTAAAGCTTAAAATTATAAAATTTATTCGCATTGCAAAACAAAAAAGTCAAAAAATAATATTTTTTTCAATGTTTTTTTTTTCAACTGTCAAACAAAATTATTTTTTTCTCCTTACGATAAAAGTGCTTTATGCAACACTTTAGCTCACACCACGTTTACCAAATACTGAGGACGACCTTCAGCAAAGAGACAATCAATGATCGAAAATAATTACAACGAAAATCGATTTTGCCCTCGGTTTGATTGCATAAAAGGAATTAAGGTCCCAACCGAAAAATTTGAAAAGTAAAAAAAATGAAAAAAACGTATATGAAACGGAATGGGCGAAATATAGAAAAACTTATTACAGACAAAAAAGTTTTCAATTTTTTTCAAATTTATAATTAAGTCAAAAAAAGAATGAATAAAAAGGAACATAAAAAATACCTCAAGTGAAATTAAAACGAAAACTGTTGTTAGTGGTAATTTTAGGGAATTGGTAAGGATAATAGTGACAAAATAAAATGAAAACAAACAAAAAAAAAACAAATCATCAGTTAATATAAGAAAGCAGATTGCGTATCTTGTAGTGACAATAGTAAAAAAGGAAAAAGGAAAAAAAGTACAATTGAACTAAAAATTATATAAATTGTTTTATTTTTTAATTTAAAATAATTTGAGATTTTATACATTAGTTTTATTTACTCATCAATGGGGACGGGATCTTAGGATAGCGAAAATATCTGCCTGAAATATTGAAGCAAAGTTGCAAGAACCTTGGTTCACGAAGTAGACTCTGACTCCTGTGCCTCTATTCCTATTTGATCCATTAGTTTAAATCTCTATCTTTTCTTGTATTGTTTTTCTTGTAAAGCATCAGCCTTGCTTTACAATCCTCTCTTGAGGGAAATCTGTTGACAAAGTTGTTATCAAAGTATAAGCGAGGAAATTATTATAATATTTCTTAGAGATTGTAATGGGATTGGAGTGATCCCATCTGAACTTGGACTTTTATATAGCGAAAAAGAGTCGATTGAGCGAATAGGCGGTACCTTTGGAGGATCCTCGGGACAACTGAAAAAGTGGGTATCTATTAGTTGCGAAATGAACTCAGTTAAGGACTTAACTGGACTTCTAACTGCTATATACTAGTATAATAAGAGTATTATATTGTATTTATATTATTATTAGTATTATTATAGTATTAATAAATTTATAATACATACGAGTATTTTAAGAAAGTACTAAGAGGTAATTAAATATGTCAAAAAAAGTGCTAAAAGATAATTAATCTTTGTTTTCAACAGACAGTAGCAATTGCATTAAACAAAAATGACGCTTTCAACAATAGGCCACAGATATTTTTAAAGATAACTTGTTACGGTTATAGTTAGTAGGTCTTTTGATATTTACAATAAATTGATATGTTAAGAGTCCGGTCACGCTACGTTCAAGATGAAATCTGCATCATGATAAATGTCACGTTAATATAAATTTGGTGTAATTATTATATATTTAATGGTAAAATTTGTACTCATATAATTATGTATCTAGAATAAAATTAATACACTTCAATATATGCATGTAAAAAAAATTAATATAAAAAATTGTGTTAAATTTCCCTTCAAACCTTTATTGTCAAAAAAATTCGCAATCATTTTGGTTATATGAATAAAAGTTGCTGAAATATTTCGAAAGTGATTTGTTTGCATTTCATTTTATCGTTTCTGGCGTCTAAGGATAACTTTCACGCTTTTGTTTCACGAAACTTTTCTCATTAAAGTTAACAAAAGAGTTTGTTCATATTTATTCTTTATTTGTTATCTTATCTGCGTGTAAAACTAATTTGTATTATCGACAACGCCCAGTCCTCCCAGGACATGTGTATTCTATTATTATTGCATGTGAGCAAATGTTAGTGTATAAATGTTTATTGTTTAATAAATGTTTCAAAAGAGGATAGGAAAGTTATTTGCTAAATTATTAAGAATTATCATCAATTTGCTTGATGTCTTTGCTTGATGTTTGATAAAAGTTGTATTCTCTCTCTCTTGCCATGTCATTAACTTTTGCAGATAATTAATTATAGATCTGTACGTATCACTAATAATATATATGTATTCATTAGTTATGTTTTTTAATACCATTAAGCCATTTTTTTAAAAATAATAAAAAATCAGTTAAAGTAAACTTAACCACAACAACTTATAGATTTTTAAATCTTACATATTTTTTATCAATATTTGTCTTGGCAAAATATATAAATGTAGTACATAAGTGTTGATTCTTAAATGGAGATAGTCCTCTTCTTTGATAACAGCATAATGTTATGTTCAATGATATCGCTGCTTAATCTCTAATACGCAGGTGGTTAATATAGTAAGAAATTGTTTTTGAATATTTGATGGATCAGAGATATGTTTACAATTGTGTTAAGGAACTCTGAAAATTTTATTTCTCTGTTTGTTAAGTTCATTGCCGTAGTGTAAACATTTGAATTTATTTTGACATTTGATGCTGTTTAGCTCATCACATATCCATTTTAAAAATATTTGTTGTCGTAGTAAATGAATTGTAATAAACAAGTGCTTAGTCCTGCTTATCTAAAAAATTATTAACTTAAAACAAACATTTTTTTACTAGTGTCAATTAATATTTTTTTTATTAATTTTTACATTACACTTAGAAGTAACATTTAAAATTTCTTAATGTTAATAACAAAAAATTAGCTCACATTTAAATTATACATTTATATCCAGCCATTTTTTATTTTATTTTATATAATTTATAAGAACGGTTTTTGTGAATAAATATCATGTACTGTTATTGTATTAAAAAAATTCAAAATTAATATGAAAATTTATGAATTTAATATAATATCAGCTAAAAATAAAGCTAAATATTATAGATTATTTATAGAAAATAACTTCTAGTTTAAAATTCTCTTTTTAAATATTATTTTTTTTTGTAAAACAAACATATACTCACAGAGCTTTATAACCTAACCTCAAATAAATTTGAGAAGGATCGAAATCTCACTAACTGTATTTCTATCCAAACATAAATTGAGATCGTTTTTGATGTTTTAGGTGTCAAGTTTTTATTTATTTGTTTTTATCAACTCATTAACTTTTTCTTTTGCAATTGTATAAATATCGTATATAAAGCTTTTGCAGGTAGATTTATAAACAATAAGAATGGAAATGTGTTTATGTGAACAATTTATTTTGTAAAAATATTACAAATAATTTTGAAGCAAAAATGCTAACATTTTTAAAAAATTGATTGTCTTTTCGAAAAACTTTTAAAATTTAAATATAAAAGAATAAAAAATATTTGTGTAAGATTTAACTTTTTTAACAATTTTTTTTATATTGTGATGCGTAGTCGATTTTGTTAAGTTGGCACCAACGGCTTAACTCGAAGCTTAAAAAAAATTATATATAAACGTGGTTTTATTAGTGAAATTATAAATTAAATTTTAGCAAAAATAATGATTAAATACAAAAACTTAAGGAGTTTCAAGAAATATGTAGCAAGAAATTAAATATTTTAATATCATTAATTAAAAAAAAATTATACATAATTGTAATTTTATTAAAGAAATGAAATAATTTCAAACAAATATATGGATTAAATAAAAAACCTTAGTGAGTTATAAAACATATGTGGCACAATATTGAACATTTTAATATAATTAAATAAATAAAAAGATATGGAATCATAGTTTTATTAAAGAAATAAAATAAATTCAAACAAATACTTTGAATAAATACAAAAACTTAATGGAGGAAAAAGTTAATTATTTTAATATCATTAATTTGTACTGAAATTTCAATACAATCCAATTTATCTTTCGGTGTAGCATAAGGTTTTATGGGTCAAAAAATTATTGTGTTTTATTCTATTTCTAATAGAATTATAAAATATATCCATAGTTTACTAATTTCCGCAAATTGGGTCAGTATAAAACAAATTATCAAGGAGAAGGAAAATCGTATGCGGCTGGAGTACTGAGAAGACTTGCCAGGACTTAGACAAAGCAAATCACTGATAAAACCGTACTTCTACAAAAACATTCTTAAACTCTCAAAATATAATTTAAGGTTGATAACGGGTTTCATTACAGGTCATTATCGTCTGAAATATCACTTTCATAAACTACGAATATCTGCTAATTCGGAATGCAGATTATGTCTCGAATATGAGGAGACTACTATGGATATTCTTAGCGGCTGTCTAGTTTTAATAACGCACAGAAGAAACTTGTTTCATATTGAATTTCTGTCACAAGAACAGGTAAAGAGCTTTTCTCTAGATTTAGTTGTAGACTTTGTTTACAAAGCTTTAAAGGGCTTTGTGTAAGTAAAAGTGAAATTTGTATAATACGACTCTTCTGGTCAAAACTTTTTAATAAATAAATAATAACTTATAATAATAATATTATTTGTTAATACCGATTGATTTATTAAAAAGCATTAATTGTATGGAAGTTATTTAGTGCATACATATACATACAATATATTTAATTAAATATATTAAATATAAAATAAAAATTGTTTAGTGATGGTCACCCTAAACAGCAATCTTTACACAAATCTGTTCACTTAGAAGTTTGTATTTACCGTAATTTAGTGAGTATTAGCCAGGTATCTTTATAAATTTATTTTAATATTAATTATTTTCAACCAAGATTCAAAACCAATTTCTTATAATAGTAGTCATTTAATCCTTCCAGAATTTAAAGAAATAAATATAATAATTTCATGCAACGAAAATTCTCCATTAGTGCCGATCTGTGCGTAATTTATTTTCAACCCGTCGAAACACCGATGTGCTTTGGAAACACCGAAATTATATAGAATTAAAAGCAAGAGTTATAACATAATTATATATAGTAAGTAGTAGTACCTTGTATATTCGTATATTATATTTCTTATAATATACTTGCAGTAAAGGTAAAAGGAAGATTACTTTTGCAATAAAAAATACTGTGTATATATGCCATTTATATTGTGTATGAATGCAAAGTCAATGGATATATATATATATCAATTATAGATATACATATCATCAAGTCACAATAACTGCAATGGATACTTGCTAATGTGCTATATATTTTTAGCATTGTTAGTAAGAAATAAATAACGTTTTATATTATTATTGTTATTAAAATTATTATTATTTCTGCATTTACCTTGAGATTTAACAAGCATAGAATTAAGCATAGTTCAGCTTTTAACCCCTTATTATCTTCATGATTTAAATATATGTTTATATGTTAATAATTTCTTTAAATACTTTTAAACTGTTTCTGTTTTTAATTATATTGACTACAACTACACTAAACATTTAAAATTATTTATTTTTGCATAAATGTATTTTTTTTTGTACAACAAGTTTTGTTATATATATTAGCCCATCTAAAGTTTTCATATTTTATGATTAAACGGTGGATACTCTAATTTTTTTACAACAATCATGTAAACTATGTCATATTTTAATTTTTATTTAATTTTAATTTTTTTTTTTTCAATTATGATTAAATATCTAAGTGCTAAAAGGTTTCAGGTTCACCTTAAATTAGAATGTATTGCTTACCGGGGGTTTAAAAATGCATAACACAAATTTTCCCACCCAAATATAAAGTTGATACTCATCATAAAACTTACTTAAAATATTATAGACACCATATACAAACATTTATATGAAAAATAAAACAGAATTTATCTGCGAGTAAATTTTAAAAACATTTAAAAAAGAACTTATGTCGTAAAGCTTAAAACTTAATCTAGATTCCTTAACTAGACCGAACTTTGTTCAGTTTTTACAAGCAAATTATTTGCCTGTAGTTACAACACACTCAGCTGAATACAATTTATTTATTGCTCCTGTCTAGCGGTAGCCTCCTCCTCCTCCTGCAGCGAAATGATCTTTGCGTGCGAAATATAGTAAAAGTATATAAATGAATTATTAAAGGGATTCGTAATTGTGAAATTAGCAGGCTGTTTCAGTATATTATTTTAAATATACTTTGTAATTTGTTAATTTTTATATATACTTCAAGAATTTAAATTCATTTATTTTACTTCTATAAAGCATACTGAAACATCCTTTAACAAAATATGTTTTGGAACATTCAAAAGCAAAGGCAAACGTGTTATTTTGTCTTAATCACCTTCTAAATTATTTTGAAATTATTTGCAAATTACTTTAAAATGAAGTACTTTACTATCATTATTGTGTTTAAATATTAATTTAAAAGTTAATATACTATTAAATAAATATTCTTATTCATTAATTCATTCATTAATTAATAAATTATAAAAATTTTTATAATTGTTTACGACTAAAAATTGACAGATTTCCGTTCGTTTATTGCATCGCTCCTTTATTAATACATTGATATTAATATTCGAACAGGTCAATATATTCCATTATTTTCAGCACGCGATATTCAATTGTTTGAAAAGCATTTTACAATTAAAATAGCATCTTTATAATGGAAGTTGGCAACACTAGTTTTATCACTACTTTAGTTTTACTAAAAGTTCGTTTGCTACTACGTTTAAGCTAAGTCCAATCATATTGAAATTATATATTTGGTAACTGAACTTTAAAATAGTTTAGAACTTTGGTTTGTACAAAGAACTTATTTAGTGAACATATTAACTGTTGGGAATTCTAATAGCAGAATGTTGTTTGAAGTTTGATAAAAATGCAAGTATTGATAAATTGCTATCAGTTCATCAGTAAAGGTTTTTTTATGGAACTATCGAATGTATGTAAGTGAATACTACAATCATTAGCGTAAATTGAATTAAGTTCAATTTGTATTAATATTTATACAAAAATATTTTTAATGACGGCCATGTTGAAAAAGCGATCACATATGACAACTAGTCGATTTTTTTTAAAATGGCTATCGGTCGCCATTTTAAGCAAACTTTTTTAATGTTGGGATTTTGCTTATTATTCTGCAAAAGTTTTTCGTTTATCTGCTAATAAATATTTCAGCTTTTTTCAAAATATTTTTATTAATTAGTATTAAAAATTTCATTGATTCTTGTTTTATATATAATTTTAGTTTTAAAATAGTTTGCAAATATTTTCAAAGCAATAAATCTACTTAATATATCACATTAACAATAAAAGCGCATCTAATTAACTATGCAAATAATTGTTTACGGTGTATTATTGTTTGATTTTTTAAAGTGTTTCTAGTGTATTTTATTAAAATATTTAAAAGTGGTTTTATTTGCTACTTACATGAAAACGTTTGCCGCTGTTAATTTTACTTTTCCTTCCATTTATATATATATATATATATTTATTTATATAAATATATATTTATTATTTTGTTATTTTTAGTTTTAGAAAACATTCAATGTTTTAAAATTTATTTGTTTGGCATTTAATTTATTTTCTTTCAAGTGAGAGTTTTGTATATTTGTAATTAATAGAAACTCTTTATGAAAGTTTAATTAAATTCAGCAACACTGAGGTATTTCATAAATTTTTTCGTAATGAAATTGTAAAATTTTGAGAACCAAAAATTTTTAGTTACGAAAGAGCAAATAATTTTGCCTAATTTTGTATAGAAATTTAAAAGAAATCATCGAGCTCGTCTAAAAGTAAAAAGTTGAATTTGAAATATTCTATTTCATTTAAATTGTAAATATTTTTCCTTAATAAATTGTGAAGTGATTAGATTGCAGATCAGTGCAAAGGTTGTGGCACAACATTAATATTTTAAAAATTTCTTCACTTAAAAACTATAAATATTTTAAAATACTTTTATTTATTATGATTAAAATTTTATTTGTTTTTTTTATGTGCTTTAGTTTAGATCGGTTTTGTTTTGTTGGGGGTCTGAGTCGCTATTGGTTTTAGATAATAGGTTGTTGCAAAGAACTGCGGGAGCTGGTTTTTGAGTGCGCTGGTGAATTAATTGTTGTTGTTGTTGGTTAGGTTGTTTGGTTTGTTTGTTAATCGGTGAATGTTTTAGATCAAAATTTTTATTTATGTTGGTCACACAGGAATATTTTTATAATTATTTTTGTAATATTTTCAGGTGTTGGGAAAACAGGAAAAAAGGAAATTAATTTTATTAAATTAATGCTAAACAAAAGGAATTAAATATTAATTTAATTTATTTAAAATGATTGTTGTTGATATGAGATAATGAGATTTAACACTCAGAGTATAAAAAAAATGAATTTGATAGAAATTCGTAGAAAATTTACACATAACTTTTAATGAAATAACTTTTATTTAGAGATTTTAAGATTTATAATGGAATCGTCAAACGTGCTGAATTTTACTTACCGAATATAATGCTTTCATTTTTGGTAATAATAATTTTTTACTTTATGCATAGTTAAATAAAGATTTAGTTTCATAAATTATTAAAAATCTTATAAAATTAGTTAAATTATTAATAAATATATATAATAAAATTAAGGTTTGAAAGAAAATTATACTAAATAACATTATTTCAAAAATAAATAGAAGAAAAAATATTTTTTAGCGACAATTATTTAAAATTTAACTAATGAATCTAATTAAATAATGTAAAAAAACAAAAATAAATATACGATTGTGCATAAGTTCAATAAAGATTTAATTCACCAAATTATTATAAATTAAAAAAAAATTATTAGATTTTTATATAAAATAAATTAAATTTTAGTTTAAAAACAAAATAACATCATTGAAAAAAAGGTTTTATATTTTTCTAAGGAGTTTTTTAAAATAAATTGATGTATAACATTAAAAAATATTGACAAAAGTTTTTAGAACCTCAAAAAATATTTTCAAATAAAAATTTAAAAGTAAGTCTAATGACTGTAGTAAGAAATAGCGGACAGTTTACTTTAAAAAAGTTATCAATTGGTGAATATATACTAAAAATATATTTTTATATTTAAAAAAGTATGATAACAAATTATAAAATATATATTAATTCGTATTGCATTTCTTATTGACACCTATTCTTTTGCTTTATTTGAAATATAAAAAACTAATTCTAACATTGTAAATGTTTATGGAGAGGTTTCCTAAAGAGTTTTTAAACTCTAACTGCACTGTTGTATGCTTGTACTATATTTTACTCCACTATATTCTATTTATGATGAAATTTTATTTAAGAAGATTTAATTCATACTCTTAAAACTTACGTTTTCACTCACACACATACACCACTTGAGGTATAATTATATATATTATAATATATATATTATATATATTATAATATATATATTATATATATTATTATATATATTAGAATTATATATATATATCTTCCCACGATCTGTGTTGAAACAATAAATAAATATAGTTTCTATTACTTATTAAAAATGTTTTTAAAAAGGTTAATTTTTTAAAAACTTGTTTATATATATATATAATATATTATATATTATTTTCAAATATTTATATTTAATTGGCTTAAAGCTTTACGTTTACGTTGCTAATTTGAAAATTTGTATAAATTATTGTATTTTCATATATCATATTATTTTAAAATATTTTTATCTAATTGCTTCAAAGTTGTATTTATTGTTGTTATTGCACTTTTGCTCTTGCTTTGGCTGTTCCATATAAAATTTCTTAAGTATCATTGGTATAAATTTCACTATGTGGTTCTGGTGATTTTAACATTTCAATTGAATGTACGAGTTCTGCAATCCTATACTTATTTCTTGGACATAACTGTCTTAAAGATAGCAATTCATTTGAATCTAATTGTTCAATTTCTCAAATTTTCCAAACAAAAATAATAAAAATGATTAATTTTAATTAATTTAAAAATAAACATAGCATAAATAAAATGATATACCATATAATAAATTTGTCTATACTTACCTCTAAAAAAAAACTTCATAAATAATAAGAATAAGTTTTTATTATTAAAAAATTGTTTATAACTATAAAAGAACAAATACTACATAATTTTGTGTTGTTCAATAAATAAAAAAATTACAAAGTTTTTCTCTTAAAAAGATCAACATGCTAACTACAAAATATATATGTATAGTATATCATTTTCTACAAATATTAATTAAAGGAAGCTAAAATATTGTAGTGCTTTACGGTGTTCATATGTGCTGCATTGAAATACAAAGTGATTGTCATAAATAGACTAAAATAGTTTAGGTATTTTATAAAGATATATGTAATGTAAGTAAATTTACTGTTTACTGTTCTGTTGTCGTTCAAAATGCCACAGAAACTAATATATAGAATGTTATGTGATACGATGTGTCGTTAAGTTTAAGTTTTTCAAAAATATTACAATTTTTTTTAAATAACAATAAAACTAAACTCTCATTTAAGCGATAACAACTTAAGTGCAGATAGTTCTGTTAGAAGTAAACCATTAAAGAAATAATTTTAATTTTTTTTGCTATTTACAATAATGTTATATTTTGTGTTTATTTGCCATAATAATTTATTACGAGAAGCGGATGTATGGCAAACAAACAGTTTATCGTAGTTTAAAAACTAAAAGTTTTTAAGAAGTTTTCAAAAGTATTGAGTTTTATTAGCACTCTCAGCGTTTTACTACGTCTGCTGGAATCACCTTTATACGTAGAGGAAGAAAAAGTTTTTAACTTAAAACTCTTACTAAATTTGTAATGAATATTACATTGAGTATTATTTAAATACGAGCTTACAAATTATTTATATGTATTAAAGTGAGTTTCTAAAGGATAGTGCCAGCAGAGAACATGTTTAATTTTATAAGATTTTGTGCAATAGAACATTTAATACATTATAAAATTAAAATATGTTATGCAGTGGTTAAATTTTAATTATAAACTCATTATAGATTGGGTTTAACTAATCTTTGAAATTATAATACATTATAGAGCATAACAAAATTTGATGATTATTTGCTCTGTGTATTGGAAAAACGTAGTAATAAAATTTTTATGACTGCTAAATTTGATTTATAATGAATTATTATTCGTTCACTCTATTCTCGTAATTCTTAAATTACTATTATAAATAGTATTAAAGTAAATAATAAAAATCGCCATTTTTAAATGTGGCATAGTTTATGTTAATGGCAGAATTGATCTCATTGGTTAACACTTGTAAACCTTGCATTGAACCAAAATTGTACACGATATTAAACGAAAAATTTCATAAAATATTTTCCTTTTTTTTTAAAATTTTTTTTTTGTTAAATTTAGAAAAAGTTGCAAATATGAAATGTTTTTTTAATGTTTCTCAAAGTTTATAAAACACGTCACTGTAGAATTTGTTATAAAATATTTCATTGTATTTATGGTATGAAGTTTTTCTCACTTATCGTATACGTTCTTTTCTGAGTGTAGTATCCATTAAAATCTTAGTTACCCATATTTGTATAAAACATAGAATGTATTTAAATTAATTATAAAATACATTTTTATACAATTAGGACAATATTTATTTTGGAATTCGTAACTAACAAGTTATGTACTTAATATACTTTGTATCCTTTGTTTACTGTGTCTACTCAGTACTCAGTATTTGCTATGTCAAAGAACAACTTTCCCATAAACTAAAAATACTTTAACAGTTATTAGCACTGCGATAAGGGGCCTTTTCAATTTTAACAATGTAATTCAGTGGTCGTTCACGCTTACTGTAAGCACGAAATGTTTTCTTTATCGCCATTTTTTCTTTAATATTTACGAAAGTAAACTTCTACACTGACAACGGCATCAACTCGACAACGTACATATGTGTTCATTGTTCTTTTTACAGCTGGTCCTGCGGGTGCCGGTGGCACTCATTGTGTTTTGCAATTTGAACTATTTTTTGTGTGCGTTTCTCTATTGGCACATTTTGTTTTTGTTTTTATTGCACTTGTATTTGTTGTTGTTGTTGTTGTTGTTGTTGGTGGTGGTGTTGTTGTTGTTGGAGTTAGATTTGTAGCTATTGTGGAATGTTGTTTATGTTTATTGTTCTTTTTGTGCATTTTTATGGCAGCTCCACAAAAAGTGTTTAACTCGCTGTCATCACTGCCGCCAGTGGGCAACTCATTACACACAACACGGTCGGATGTTGGAGTTTGCGATGCAGTTTGTGTGTGTGAGCGTTTAAAAAAACGAGGCATACGAAAATTATTTTGTAAATATTTTGAAAACTGAAAACTATTTGGTGTAGAATTTGTAATTGGTGATGTTATTGTTGGAGTAGTTGGAGTTGTAGTTGTTGTAGTTATTCTAGCTTTACAGCCAGCCTTAGGAGTTGTTGGTTCAGGCAATATACTTCCCCATGTAGCTTGCACCGCATGTGGATGCAAGAGCATATTTGTACGCACTTGCTGCACATTGCGATGATCGTAATTCTCAACTATTATGATGGGCATAGCTAGTGGACGTTTATTAGATTGTTTGTTTGTTGTTGTTTTAGTACAAAAATTTGTATGCATTTCTAAAGAATGACAGCTACGCGCTGGTCTAATTCGCGCCTTCAAACTATCCCATCGGAAAAAGCTGCTCAGCCTTTGGCTTAAATTTGTTGTTGCCCTGTCATTGTAAAATACTGTGTCGTTCAAGAGATCTCTAACTAAATCGGGTTGGTGTGGTACGTGGTACGTGTCGTCATAATTAACAATGCTATTTGCGTCGAATGTTGTATGTGTATGTGTGCATGTACGCATTGAGTTGTTGTAGGTTTGTTGTTGTAATGGTGCTAATGTGCTGGTAGGTGGTACTTGCAACGTGCATGTGTGCCATGTATCGTGCAATTGCAATGAAAGTGGACGCATTTTCAACATGCAGGGCGACAATGCTAATCTATGTATGTTGTCATAGGATGCAGATAACATACCTGTGCGCTCATCATGATACTCATCGTCATCGGATGACTCGAGGCGGTCTTCAACGAGTGAAGTTTGACGTGAGAGACCCTGTTTGAAAGTGTGTGAAGTGATTTTTTTTGCATTTTTGAAATAATTTTTTTGTTTGAAATATAGAACAAAAAAAAGAAAAGAAGCAGAAAAGAAAAAAGTGAGTTTTAGAGCATCAACTACGCAAAAAACAAAAAGTTCAACATATATTGCTTAGACTACTACACTTTGTATTATCTTTTAAAGCTGTACAGCAGTCATAGTATCAACTGTACGAGTTCGTTAAGTAAGCCAAGCAACTCAAACTGAGTGTGTTATGCTAATTAACTCTGGCACTAAATCAAATTTTACATATCTACTGTCTAAATGTTATTTCGCACTCATATTTTATTTAAATACTTTATGAATAATTTTACTAGAACCTAATCGCATTCCTGTTAGTATCAATTGCGCTCTATTTTATTGCTCTAAACCTACCGCATTGTGTCTTCGGCGTGGCGGTGAACGCTTATTCCACAAAGCTTCCAACTGATCAAAATGCTGTGATTGTGCCAGAGCGGCTTGCTCGGGCCCTAAATTCGTTTGAGAAGTAATTGTTTTCATTTCTGCAATTTTCGAGATCTCTTCCATGCTTGCCGAAACTGAGAAACGGCGTTTAAGTCGTTCATCGACTTGTGCCATCATAACTGAAGAAGTAAGATGTCCATATTTCTTTTGCCAAGTGTATGTGTCCAAAGAAACTTCTTTCTTTAACAATCGTTTCATTTGACGTTTCGGACCTTGAGGACGTAAGTCTAATTAAAGTGTTTAAATTGAGTTAAAAAATTATGAAATAATTGTGCATAAGTAAACAAATTTAAAAATGGTATGGTATAATAACATTATAGTACAGTTATTTAAAAATTATATAATAAATGGAAATTAATCAACGTATCACGCAAATACCTTCAACATCACGTGCAGGTGCGGAATAGGTGGGTAACTTGACATACTGAGCAGGTGTATTATGTAGACAAATGACGGGCAAGTTGAAACTGTCCACCAGCTGTACAAGTATACGTGAACACTCCAGACTAATGTCGAAATGTGTGAAAGGAACATGTAATTGCAGGGAGGTTAAAGCCAGACCACGTTTGGTTTCCCAAACAATCAAGGTTTTGTCGTCGCTACCCGAAACAGCCGTAGAACCTAGTAGAAATAATTTTAATAATTTATAGTGACAATTTAAACAGGTAAAAATCTAAAAACTTTATATGTAATATAATGTAATATGTAATATTTTTTATTAGCAATATATTTATTACAAGTTAAACATAATAAAATTTTTATTTTATATTAGTAAAATAAAACAAACTTACAATTGTCAAACAACAAAATATGACATTTTTATATAGATTTTGTGCAGTGGTGGTATGAAAAATGCCAGTTATTAGTATATGCTATTTTTGTGGAATCAATAGAAACTGTCGTAAGTTAAGTCTCAATACTGACTTAAGTATAAAAAAAATTCACTAAAGTCGTAACATTACTGCATTTTTGTATAGATTTTGAAACCACCATAACTTAAGTCTCAATACTGACTTAAAAATGAACATATACTAGGAACTTAAACTATATTTATAAAATCGTCACAAAGTTTTTTCAATATAAGTTTGCAATCATTAGTTTCTAAATTACTTACCATCAGCGGATACTTTAACACCTATAACCGGTCCCAAATGACCAGCTAAAGTATGTATTTCTTCGCCGGTGTGCAAGTCCCATATGATTAAATTCGTATCCTTTGAACCAGAAATGACTTGTGTCTTATTGGTTACAGAAACAGCCGCGCAAGTTACAGCATCTGTGTGTCCAACTAAAACTTGGGCTAATTTTCCTCCAGTAGCTTGCCAGACTTTCAATGACATATCACGGGAACCTGTTATAATGTATAAACTATCAGCGGTTATTGTGAAACAAGTGATTTCATCCGAATGCGAAACGGAGTATTTTTCATCTTCACGTGTTAGTGACCAAATTTTAAGTGTATTTTCACCATTAGTGGACACCTAAGAAAACAATATAAGTAGAGCTTAAAATCTTTATAAATTAATGTATAATATTTTTTACCGCAAATTTCATATTATTTGTAATAGCTAACCATCTAAAGGGTCCTTGTATTGTTTGTAAGAGATTGCCTGCATCAGCAATCCAAACATATAAATTAGAGTCACGATCTGAGGAGATCACTCGTCTTGAGTCCATAAGTACAACAACACAATGCACCGGTGCATTGTGGCCCTTAAAAATGAAGATTAAATTATAGACATTAAGAATTGCTTTTTTCTACTTATATCGGATGATTGCTTATATCAGCAACGCTTTACATAACTTTAAATTACCAAAACCATTAAAAAAGAAAAAAAAAATACGAATATGTAAAGCAACGAGTATTATTTTACAGTTTCTACCTTGAATGTATTTGTAATTTGTCCAAGTGTGAGACTCCAAACGTTAACTGTACGATCTTCTGAACCAGTTACCAAATACTCCCCATTTGGGGCGAAACTTAAACACGACACTGGGCCAGCATGACCATCAAAGGTTGTTTGATATTCTGGGGTATTAATTCGCATGATATGCACACTACGTCCAGATGCAATGGCAACCAATTGTGAATCGCGTGATACGTCAAAACATGTAATGGGCGGTAAAGTCGTTGAAGGTGAACGCTGAGATTGCAGTGAACGTTTCAGTGAACGCTTCCGACGCTGATTGTGTGAGTAGGGATGAACGTAAAGTTCTTCGTTACGGAAAGAATAAAATGTTACTTTATTGCCACCAACTGTGATGAGAAAGTCATCGTTATCCATAGCATAAACAGCGGTGACAGGACCGGGATTAGGTGGCATAGAACGTATTAATTTACTCGAATGCATGTCATAAATAAGTGCACGTGTATCCTCACAGCCGACAACAGCACGTTGATTGTCCTTCGCTATAGATATGGTGCGTATCTATTTCAGTAGAATTGAAACAAAATAAACAAATGCATATATTAAGATTAAAGTTCGATAGCAAAATATTGTTGAAAATATAGATTGTTTAACTTAACGAAAATTCCTTTAAAATTTAAATCTTGATATTTGTTTCTCAAATAACTTACGCGTGACTTGTGACCTTTAAGTGTATGCAGTTCCTTTCCTGTGGCTAAAGTACGTAAATATAAGCCATTATCTTCACAGTGCGCCAAAAGAAACACCTGAAAATAAGAAAATTCGTTAATACCAAAATTTATATTAAAATATTTTGGAGTGGAAAACAATAATGTATTATAAAGTTACATTAGTAATTAAAAGTATATCTATATAAATATTGTGGGACGTTGGGACAGCGCACCGTACAGCAAGTGGGCTTACTGAAGTGATGGATTAGCCGAAGTAGACCACGAAACGACTTGGTTTCTTTTTCGTCCTTCCATTCTGGGATGTCATTATTAAGTCAAAGCTAGAGTGGCTCATTTAGCTTGATGTTGCTTGCCAAGTCATCAACAACTCCATGGTGCCCCAAGACAGTCATCTTCTTGCTTGCCAGTGCTGGACACTGGCATAATATATGCACCAACAAGAGTTATCTTTTTGAGTTGATACTTGATAACCGATTATTTGATTACTGGACATGGAAACTTCAAGTGATTAAAGGTAAATCTTGCATTATGTGCAAGAAAAAATAATTTAAATGAGTTATAATTAAGTTTAATAAACCTATAAAATATATCTCATCTTCTTTGTCATGTAAATTTATAGAAAATTGTGTCAGAGTATATATGTATATAATGAAAAAAAAATTATTTAATGACCATTTAAAACATTTTTAATACGCCAAGTGTATATTAGTACTCGTATATATATGAGTAAGGATATAATTTATTGAACTTGGCTGTCATTTATTTATCATTTCATAGTTGTTTTTGTTCTTTATTAAATATATTTGAACCAAATATAAGGAATTTATGTTTTTTTGTTGTAATTTTCATCATCATATTAGAAATTATTCTGTATTCCTTGCAACAATAAAAACATTCTAGTGATTTTCCTGAAACATAAAATTCTTGAACTTCGTGCGAAGTACTTCATTTGAGTAATTTAATGTGATTTTTTTAAGAGGACTTAGGTTTTCGTAGTATATGGAAATCCTGACTTGATAAATGATAATAAAGTGATAAAGAAATCTTACATTATTTGTCTCATTTTAGAAGTATAAAGATTTTTTTTTGTTCTTACTTCATGACAGTTATTTTATGGAGATAAAATTCTGAACATAAGTATATGTACCACACTTATGATAAAAAACTAACTTAATAGTATTAATAAATAAAACAGCACGATTTCTAAAGATACATTTTTAAAGATTTTAAATTAAACAATTTTAAATATGTATTTTATTTCGATGTAATCGTTTTTAAGGAACGATTAACCATTAACCACATATTTGGCATGACTACATGAGGTTTGATTGTCATAGTTTTATCATATTTTCAAGAAAATATGAAACTTCTTATTCAATAATATAATTATTTCAATCACTAAAAGAAAAGCTATAGTTGTATAAGTTTTAATGGTTGAAATAAATGATCTTATCTTCTTTTTATAAAAAAGTGTCTCCTACATACGTTTATAATTTTTTTGTTCTTCTGATTTTTTGTTTGAAATTCTGTATTCCATAATAAAAATCTATTAGATGAGAAATATTGCAATGATTTCTTATTTCTATATATAATTAAGTATAAAAATATATCAAAGTAAAGGATTTTTGAAAGAATAGAAGTTCAAGTACGATCTTAGTAATTTGGATAAACTATTTGTGACACATATTGATTTATTTGACTGCATCGTTTTGAGTTTCGTTGACTTTCAACTAATTAATTCTGTAAATATTGAGATTATATATCTCCAACTGGTTCGAACAGTATAGCTTATAACAAATTAAAAAAAAATATCATCTTCAAAGTATGGCGTAAGGTATTAAATATGTGCGCTGTGCATTTTATAGCTAGTTAAGCTATAAAATAAAATAAAATACTAAACCATGTTACTAACTTTAACTATACTTGCGTGTACCAAGTGATATTTCTACTTTGTACTTTGTAGTGGAAAAAGTTAAAATACTAAAATGTGTACTCATTTATGCAACTACTGGCATATTTAATGCCTTGCTGAGTTGAAGGTTACTCTCTTTTGAACTTTTAATACTATTATTATATTATAAATTTTTCCTTTTTCTGTGCTGTATCACATCACATGATATCAGATTACAACTCATCACTTGAATACACATCGCTTCATCAGCATGCGATTATCCTAATATCAATAAAAGAACTGATACGAAAACAGAAATGGCACAAAAGGAAAACCCACGTATGTAGGATATTTTGTAGTACAACCTTCTCAAACCTTCAATCGAATGTAGCGAGTTGAACAGCTTTAAGCATGTCGCAAAAAAGGATAAAATCTGTTACAGGAAAATTAACAAAAGATACAATAGTTTTAATCTGGTGTAGTTGACATTTAATTTAATGTCACACATTGAAAAATACTTTAAACTTATTCCTACACATCAATTGGCGCGTGTCAGAGCATCGCTGCACCGGATGGCAACCGCTTAACTTATTTAGTACTTTTTGTCTGCGAAAAGTAGTGAAAAGTAAAAACTGTTTAGTGATTAAAGTCACTTTTGTAAAAGTTTCTTAACTATTCATACACATACGCACGAGTCCATTTCGATTTCAGTAGTTGAGTTTTTTTTTTGTTTGGTTTAGAAGTCTTCTTAAAAGTATTGACTACAGTTCTGAGATCATCTGGTTTATGATTTTGCACTTGAAATTCAGTTTTTAGTTACAGATTTTTCATGTTAATGTTGAGTCTGTGTGCATCTAGACTCTTTTATTCTTTGATAGCTGGGCGGTTTCTGTAGAGTCCCACCCTTCTCAGTGACTTATTTAAGTATTCCTCAAAAGTTCGTTATGATTCGATGACTGATCTAAGATTGTTATTAATTTATTCATATATGTACTAGAAATAATTCATTTGTTTTGAACATAAGAAATTTGGTGATAGAGATAGAGACGCAAGGATGTATAGCAGCAAACTTATTAGGTGCAGTGAAAAAAATGACACAGTATTTAATTGTTGATTGATTAAAAATTCTAAAATGGAGCTAGAAAGTTGTTATATATCAGTCTTCACTTGAATAAAGTAAAAGGAGAATAGAATGATTTTAAATAGATTTTAAGAGAGAGAATTTCTCAATATAGCATTTGTTTCTTTAACATCGTAAGCTTTTATTGGTGTCTTAGTTTCAATTGTAAAAAACAAAGAAGAGTTATTGAATTTCCAATTACGTTCTCAGTAAAAGTTGGATCTATAACACATGTGTTGGGCCTGTGCTGGTTCATAGGTGTGAACTTCAAATTTACTTATTTAGACTCTTATAAATAGATACCTATAATATATTTTAAAAATTGCAAAATTAATTAATTTAGAATTTGACATAACTACAATAATCATTTTCGAAGTAATATAAAAATAATTACTATTAACTAATTATAACAAGTTAAATTTCTTTATCTAGTAGGCAGATGTCAATTGTCATAAGTAGCTGATTGCAAATATATATAATCTGTAACGGAATATGTACATTAGAATTGATATACTGAATCAGGATTTGGTTGTCCTTATCTCAATTGACTCTTATCCAAATCTCGATCTAGGGTTCGGCTTTTTTACATTTAGTAGGTATGACTGGACTATAGATATAGTAGTTTCTATTAAAACGTAAGAGTTTTACACTGATGAACAGTCAGCAGTGGCATATTTTTCTCAAAACTACCGTGTAGGCAGAATAGCGATCAAAATATTATCAATGCTATAAGATCACCGATGTAAGTATTGTAATTTTTTTCGGAGAGCCAAACGGTTTATAAAATCTCTCTAAACATGTCTTCTCTTAACTAGTTAGCTGAGCATATCAGTGTCCAACATGTCGGGCATGTCGAGATATGTCCGGCAGACGAGCTTGCCAAGGCAGATACTACGATACTGGTATCTCGTGTGTAACTGCTAAGGTGGCGATTAAACGAAAATATCTGAGAATCGTTGAAAAACCTGAGCAGATGAAAGATTTTGTAAGATTGAAAGAATTACTTAGTTCTCGACAAGAAACATATCAGTCACCTATTTTAACTAAAGCGGAACCTGCTCATCACTACGGTGGCATCATTGTTGATAGGTTACTCCGTACTAAGAAGACATGCTATGAGACTTGGTCTACTGCATAAGAGGAGAAGGAATTCATATTTTACTTTCTTTGTTAATATTCCCCTTTGGCCTATAGAAGTTAAAAAATGTATGGTATCCTTTTTCTTATTGATGACATTCTGACATTGTAAAATTAGACATTCTGTAAAAATTAGAGACTTTACAACGTATATATAGTAGACTAACCAGGTTGGTTCACTTTTACTTGAATTTGGGAGTCGTGCCTGTTAACGTTGTTTGTAAGCTGTTCACTGCTGTCCTTCTGGGAACCTTTTATTCTATGTAAAATCAATGCTAATCCGAGGTATCACAACTAGTCATTATTTATGCTAAAGTCTAAAGGCTTTGGTGTAATAGGACGCAACTCCAACCTAACTTAACTTTAAGTCGTATATTATGTTTTCTATTGAAGCTTCGGCTAAGTTTAAATCACAAAAAAATCAGTTCGATTCCTAGTACTTGCAGTCTCAAAAATAATAATTTACGAATAATTAAATATAAGATGATGGTTATTTGGCAATACTCGAAACAGCTGTATGGTCAGCCAAAAATTCAATTAATTAAAATAATATAAAAAAAAATATTTGTTGTTGTAGTTCTCTACTGTTCGAAAAAACCACTTTGTAGTTACATTAAGTAAGGTTGGAGACCCTCACTTGTACTCAAATAAAACAATTTACATATATGTTTTCAGGCTATGAGATCTGTAGTCCTTTGTCGCATTAGTAATAATTAATAATTCTGAATCATTATTGTCAGCTAGAAATACTAAAAGGTTATATCGTAAGTTTTATACTTTAATTTTCAAATACTCTGTTTCATAGAATTTTCATTTAAGATCTGAGTTTGATTTTTTTTCTTTTAATATTTATGCCAAGAAGTTATTTATTTAATTTAGCTAATTACGTATACAAACTCTTACAGAATGCATAAATTGTGCATGAAGTAAGTAGACTTACCGAGTCACATGAAATATCAATTCGCAGCACTGGACTGCACATTTGCATGCTATTCAGCAGTGTATAATCTTCCAAGGACCATAGACAAATTGTTTTGTCGTGACTTGATGAAATAAGCACATCACACGCACCACAAACCTTCACACTCGAGACCGGACCTCGGTGATGTGTGATTTTCTGCTTCTGTAAAAGAAAATATAATACATATATATATTCAAAAGAAAAAATAATAAACAAAAATGAATCAAAGGCTGTATTAATATAAATCACATACCATAAGACTCTAGTGAACTAAATGAAATCAGTAATATTTAATATAAATAAAAGACATTAAAATTAGAATTATCAGCATTACATGTGTGGGTTAATTAAAGGATATTTTGGGTTTGTGACATAACTCAGGTATGCTCACGTGGCTCATAGGCCACATGCCTGGTATCAGTGTGTGGTGCACAGCATGTCACACAATGTAACATTACTAGACTAAGCCTAATTCCAAAAGCCTGCAAGCCTTTATTAAATTAAGTTAATCACATTTTTGCACGCCATACTCGCTTAATTTATGTAATAAACACACTCGCACATATGCAATACTCGCACTCGTTCATACATGTGCCAGCGAGTAGTTGCTCTCAAAATGGCTGGGGCGTATCCTTTGCAGTTCTTTTGCTGTTAGGTGATGAAATTGATAAATGGCTTTGCTGGTTCCATTGTGAAAAGCGTAGAAATTTCTATGTAACGCAACAGAAAGCAGCTTAATTCGTTCCACTTAGTAACGAACATTTTCTCTTGAAGAAATGTTATAATTAAAAATAATTCAGGCGTTGCTAAGCTCAACAAAAAAGAAATTAAAAAAAGACTGCATAATTATGAAATATTCATGGCTTTAAAATAGCATTATAGATTTATTTTAATTACTTAATATTTTAATATGTTAATGTGTTTTGTGTGGAATGATGCTAAAAGCAGCTTTGAGGTTTAACGCATTGACTGATTGCATGAAAATAATTTTCATTCTTTTTATTTATTCACTGTAAACATTTTTTGCCATAGAAAAATTATATTTAAAATGAAATTTAAAATAAAGTTAAATATATTCCTTAAATATGTGATGAATCATAAAATTTTTAAATAACGTATTAAATATTTGCATACATTTATAGAAGCTTATATATATTTATTTTTGCGATTTTCACATATCATTAAATGTATTAATGTTTTGCTAATAAAAAATAAAATAATTTTAAAATTTTAATTCAAGTATTTAAGGTACATTAGCCATTTTAAGTTGTATATAATATGTATAAGTGTCATTTAATATGAATGAGACCATTCAATTCGCACACTTGGACAACAAAAGGAGAACATTTAAGGTAATAAATTTGGCAAAAAGTTGGTTCTCCAAAAATAGTTTAGAATAATAATTTCCAGAAGAAATTTACATTTTTAATGCTTATTAAAAATAATGACAATCATTTTTGTTCATCAGTATAGTACGTTTTGTCCTAAAATGTATAATAAATATTATTTCCTATATAGAATATAATATGACACTACTATTATTAGTAAATTATGGTTACCTGCTACTTTGACCATGACATGTCTTTCGTGCTAAAAACCGATTTTAGCTGCAGAGATGACACTCAAAGGGTCGAATGAGAGAAACAATATGATCAGTGGAGAATTTTTTTAATATCAGGATTTTAGAGAGTTCCATTTTGTCGAGATGGTAAAGCAGGTCATTTTGACCAATCAGATAACCTAAGTGTAGATTCTAGAACGAACCAGATTATCAGTTGGCAGATACTCGGAAACAGCACTACCCTGTATTTGCTGCAACATGCCATAACAATTCCCCAAAATTTTGGAAGAGAACTTCCAAGAAGACAATGCTTTGAATGCAGTTTTATTAACTGAAAAGACTAATATGATGGGCATCTTTTAATCCCTTAGTAAGGTTCACCAGAACACAGATATCAATTGCCTGATCCAGTAACTCATATAACAAACACTTTCTCTTTTGGTTTCGAACCGTTTTTATGATTCAGTCATTATAGATATAGTCTATATTAATTATTTTGTGATAATGAGATTGAGAATGTGATAAGTGCATTACGTGTACATAAATTGTACTCATACTTTTGTATATACGTATATACATATCCACATCAATTAAGACTGACATTAACCAATTATATTTGACATAAACCAATTAGGTCTGTCGAATTATTCAATTGTATTGCTTTAATGTAATATTAAACCACAATTCTGCGCTTTCATTTCATTTGACAAAAGCTTCCAGTTTAAATGTTACACATTTTCTAGACTTTTTGTTGAAATTAAATACTTATAAAAAACATATTTTTGGTAGCATCAAAATAGTTTACAAAATATACACCATATATAATTTAATTATTAAATTTATGGTGTAAAAATTTACCACATATTTATTATTTATTATTAATTTATACAGTGTATTTTTTGTTATTTACTTTAGGCTCTAATAAATTTCCATTTACCTCGTAAAAGATACGTGGGTAACAAATTGAAGCTGAGATTTTAATTTGATTTATGATTTTCATAACAGTAAAAAATAAATAAAAATATAAATTAAAATTAAATTGAGTGAATTTTCTTGATTTTGCATAAATCAAGGTATTCGCATAAAAAATATAAAATTACACAAGAGCAAAATTATGTCCTTAACTGGGTTTAACACGTCTAAAAGCTATATCATCTCATCTCACGTTTATGTATTTCTATTTTATTTGGTTGTGTTCATATTTTATTGCATAGATATATACATTTTGATAACTTTGAGGTGTACGTTGACATAAGAGGTAACAACTGTAATTCCTAGACTTATGCTTTAACAATAACAAAGTGTACTTAGACACATGTTCAGACACATGCGGCACAGATGCTTAATGCTTCTCATAACGTTTTCATTTTAAAAAAGCTAGCTTAGCATGGCAGATGATGGCTTATTATTTTGCTGTCTTTTTCTTATTTCACTTTCACTATATTTTACTTTCTTTTGAGGGAATAATGGAGTTTAAGTACTTTATTATATTCGCCAAAGTTGATGAAGTTCTCTTAATTACATATATAATACATATACAAATCATTAGCGGACAGATTACTAATTTAACCTACAAAGTTATTTAATACGGACTATTCCAACAATATAAGCATTTGAGTGTATTTCTTTATAAGAAAGAGATCGTTGGATGTAAATCTTAAATTATTTCAATTATATATTCTATAATTATTTTTTTCTAATATTTAAATAGGATGCAGAATTTTGTATGGCAAATTATTATAAAAAATGTATTATTATATTGAGGCTAGTTGACTTAGTGCACTTGAGCACTTTTACTCTCTATTAACTGCGAGGTTTCTTCATAACCCCTATCTACGCCTTGACTGGATTATTGTTTATCACTTCATCAGACTAAGCAATAACTGACGTCAGGTCTTCATATCTCTTCAAGGAACCTTCAACCATTCCGAGATTCGATAACGCGGTGTAAGCCTGTCAGTTTTTATAAATAATTTTAGGGCTCTATCCTTTATGTGTTTTTTGATCGGATCAATCTTGAGGTCCCTGAGGATGTCATTCGTCCTAATGTACCATGGTACCTTGAAAAGTCTTCTCAGAGTCTAGCTTTGACCAATTTCTAGCTGGCGAATAGTAGTGTTTGAGGCCTTGCTGAACGCTACACATCCATATAGAAGTGACGGTCGAATTATTTAGTTACATATCGCTTCCTGTTCTTAGCATTGAGATTTTCATTTTTGTATAGCGATTGAAAGTGATGAAAAATTTTGGCACAGCTAATTCTTTTCAGTTGAACATATTTAAGCCATTTGAAATGTTTGTCTACCGTGATGTCTAAATATTTAAAGCTGTCCTCCCAGTTTATTACCATATCTCCCATCTCACTCTCGACGGGTTTTGTTCCGCTTACGCGTAATGAACAGAGCCTTGGTTTTTCATTATTGATTTTTATTTTCCATTTCTGGAAATACTCCAGGATGAGGTTTATGTTGAGAGCACATTTATCTGAGTATAGCATACACATATCGTCAGCATATAACGCTAGTATCGAAGAACCAACATCGGGACATATAAATGTTGTAGAGAGTATTATATCGTCTTAGAAAAGAATGAAAGGCAATATTTGAATATTACAGAATCAATTCTAAATATTCTATTTATTTCTTACAAGAAAGTTAAATAAATTTAAATATGTTCTGCCGTAATGTTAGATTATAAAATGAAAATTGTTTTCACACACATTATGATTAGCATTTTATAAACTACAATGCAATACAAATGTTTATCACAAACATTTATCACAAACCGCATCACAAACACCAACCTATGGGTCGTTACAAATAAATCATCTGCTACTATGGAGATAAGAAGACGTAAATTGCGCTGGATAGGCCACAATATACGCAGACCCAATGGAAACATTGCACGTCAAGCTCTGAGATGGAGTCCTCAAGGCAGTCGTCGACTTAGAGCGCCTGCTAAAACTTGGAGAAGAACAATTGAAAAAGAACTAAGAGAAACGAACTATTCCTGAATTGACATATGACGTGAATCAAATAACCGAATACGATATAAATAGATGGTAGAGACCCTATGCTCCACTGTGAGATAAGGATAAGAGAGAGAGAGAGAGATTATTATATACAATACATAAATAGTTTTCATATTCACATAGCTGGGATATTTATTAATATTAAAGATGAAAATTTAAAGAAAAGACTGAGTTTTTTTCCGAGAAGATGATTAAATTTACAAAACTACAGACAATGATCTAGGCATTTGGGAACAAACATCAAAGGAAAATTTGTCCTATATATGTCTGTTACGATAAGGATACACATATAAAATAAATGTGATTTAAAAAAATTTAATTAAAAATGCTACATTTCTAAAATCATGAATATATTTTATAGTACTTGATACTTTACAATTTCTTTTTTAATTAAGTAAAGTTAAAAAAAAATTTCGTTTAAATAAAATTTAATATTTCCATTTTCGTTTACCCGATATAAAAATAAATGTTATCTAAATCACGAACTTTATAAATATTAAAAATAAATTATGAGTTTTTCAATGAGAAAAAAGGAGGAAACTCTTATGTTGCTCATAAGTATAGAGTAATGCTTATTACGTACGGAAGTAACGGCAACAACATTGAATCTGCCAGGGGTCCTGGCAAGCAAACTATACGTAAGCAAACTTGATGCCACGATGTGAATGTGAAGCGAATTAAAAAAGAGGTTGCAAAAATATTAACGGAAGCGGCAACAATTTATCTAAGCAGCTCAAGAGGTTAATCGAAATGCATAAGTGTGCAACTCTCTACAGAAACATCATTCAGCTGGGTTTTATACATGCACCAGCGTTAGTTAGTAGGTATTCATATTTTCCAGCTCATTCCACTTCAGTGCTAATGAACCGGAAATCTATAATTTTGCAAGGTAAATTACGAGCGATCAAAATAATAAATTACGTATTAGAATCTAAATGTGTTGCAGCAGAAAAAAATCTATTGAATTAATTAAAAATATCTGTGGCAAAGTTGCATATTGCAAACTTTTTGAAAAATTTTAAGTAGTAAAAAAATTTGCATAGAAAAAAGTATAAATTGTTGTTTCATTTACTATAGACTACTGAAAACAATAAACAATAACATTTTAATATAACAATTGTATTTTAATTGATCAACCAGCCCATACTTAAAAAAATATTATACAATTGTTTGGTCATAAAAAATAAACAAAAATATTTTAATTATTAAAATTAAATAAATATGTAAATAAATATCAATCTCCCAGTATTCAAAAGCTTTGAACAACATGTTTTAATATTGTTTTATATATAAATATTTGCAAATATATGTATATATAGTACTATAAACTATAGTACTATAAACCCTCATGCTATTCAATAAGGATATATAACGGAAAAATAGCGCTTGTAGTATTTCAATTGATGTGTATTATCGATAGTTATTAGGCTGATCTCACATTAGTTGGTATAAATTGTTGGGTGAGATTTTTTTAAAATAAGATGGTGGTTGGGCTTTGCCTCGATTAGTCAAGGCATTAGTGCTTCAAAAACTCACTTATGCAGCCGACGCTTAGACTATTAAAGCATTATATAAACAGAAGATAGAAACATTAAAGAACAATGAAAAACTAGACTTATGAAAACAACCTCCAATATTTGATTTATTTCAGTACAGCAGTAAGTCGATCAACAACTTTAAAGTAATTGCTTGTAGAGAGCACCATAAAGGAAATTAAGAGATCGTCGAATATAAGGAAAATCGTCTGAAAGGAGAAAAGTGCAAAGGGTTAGAAGAAGAGTTTTATTAGTTTCACAAATTCCTTCGACGCCAAAGCGAACAGTAGCTATTATTAAACAGAAGAGCTGGGCCACTAAATATTAATTGTCACCGTAAATATTTTTTTAATTTCTTTTTAATTTATTCAGAAGAAGTGAGCCGATAAGAAGTACCAATAATTTTGTTCAGCCTAATTTAGTACAAATTTAGTAATTTAATAAATTAAATATGAGAGATAAAATAATGAAATAAAATACATTCAATTGTAAATTAAGCATTTTATATAAAAAAATTTTTTTTTGGTTAAAAGTCGCATCAAAAACGGGGTAAAAACAGTGCTACAGTTCAATATGCTTGCTGTGTAATTATGCTCGTCACTGCGTATTATGACGCTCTTGAAGCTGCTGAAATTTCGAGCCTAGACAACTTCTGTTGTTAGGAGTTGGGTATTAATAATGATTGTTTTAGTTGATTTGTTCCAATAGGTTAAATAAATAGTTTGCATATAATATTTTTGTTATACTTTGCTTCCTATTATTACATGTAAAAAATTTTAGAGAAAATAATAATAAATTTGCATGAATTTCAAAGAAATGACTTTAATTAAAATTTGCAACTAGATTTTAATTGCATTCCATTTTCTTAATAATTTGTTTTATTTTCACAAAATATTAAATTCTTTTTATAAAAAGTAATACACGGATTACATTGACTCTGCCATTTTAAATGATTATTTATATTGTATTATTTTAAATCCTCAGAAGTGAAATATCTTTACAAATTAATTAAAAAGGCATCAGTTTCAATTATTAAATATTTTTTTTTATATTTTTTGTGAAAAAAAGTTGATGATAATTACATGACTTCATAAAAAAGCATTTTTCGTAAACCTGCCTGGGTGCACGTACGTCGTACACTTGGCAGTGAAAAATTTGGCCAGTCGTTTCATGTTTAAAATTTTGGCACATCGCTTCCATAAGCGTCTGCGACAGGACTACTATTGTGAGTGTTGTGTGAACACTGAATTCAGTTTCCGTTCACTACGGTCAAGTTTGGTATTTCGGTTTATTTATGATGCAACATAAATATCAACCTGACAGATACCGTAGAAAAGCATTTTCGTTTAAGTTAACAAAGCACAGAACTCTGAAATTAAGTTATGAAAGTCATAAACCCTTAATCAGTTGATATTATAAAGAAAATATTTTCCAGGTGTGCATGTAATTTATGTGGCAGGATACAGAAAGGATTATTGATTTTTGATAAATATTTTTGTTATAATAGGTTATAGTTATATATTTGCTTTAAATATATTTAAAAATTTTAAATTCACTAAATTTTAAATTCATTTATTTACATATACTTTGTGAGGTTCTCTAAATGTTTTGTGTAAACTTACCAATTTTCCATTGTTAATATCTGAAACAATAATATTTGAGTCTTCATCGCCACTTATAACCAAGGTGTTATTGACACCCACTGTAACACTTGTGACAAGAGACGTATGTGTTCTGCAAATAAACAAGACGTGTTAAAAAAAGATAATAACATAAAAAGCGAAAAATTGATTTTAAATGGAATGAAATGATATCGTGGCAAAGAGATACAAAACAAATTCAAAAAGTTCATAAAAAATGCCTTAAACGTACTTGATGTGAGTCTTGAGCTCGTGTGTCGTCACGTTCCATACAATCACAGTGGCATCCTCAGAACTGGTCAGTAGCATATCAGATTGTGGTGCGACGTACATGCACGTGACAGCTGCAGTATGCCCTAGAATATATGTATATAGAACAACATATTAAGGAAAATTTCTAACAAATCAGCAACAAAATTAATTAGTATAAAAAAAACTATAATGAGCAAATTAAGGAACGCGTGTAGTCATAAAAGCAATGTTTCATTTTTAATGGCTACTGCACTACGTGACGTATAGTAATACTATTTGTTAGCACAGTGATAGCTGAATTTGAAGCAAATGGTTCTTTAATAACGAATTCTCAAGTAAAACACACAGTTAAGATATTGTTAGTGTTGTTTAAAAAACTGACCTTTAAAAATATATTCCAAAGAGTTGCTCATAATATGCCACTTCTGCACATCACCTGAGTTTGTGGACAGTATCAAATGTTGTCGAGAAGGTGCTACACATATTTCACGTATAGGTCCAGTACCTGATACAGTCATTGTACGTATTTGTGAAGGTAAAGGCGCTGGTAACCAACCCGTAAGCGGTACTAATAGTGGCACTGCATAACCATCACACCAAGCGGTAGCCGAACGTACTGTGATGCTGAGCAAGGAATTATCGTTTTCATCGTGTTCGCTAATGGGACGTAACCAAGATATCAGCTGGAAAATAAAAAAAAAGTTCAAAATTATAATTTATTAATAACTTTTTTTGTTAGGATTCTTTACTTACTTGAGAACCTAATTGCATGGGATCACGTGTTAATACATCACTTGATTTACGTATCGTGTAGTAAATGAGTTCAATGTCTCGATCAAGTAAGTAACAGCGCACATGTTCAATCAGGCAACGTAAATAGCTTATAGATACAGTTTGAACCTAAGTTGAGTAAAATAAACAAAAAAATTGTCCTTTAAGGCATTTATCGTGACTTCGAAAAAGTTTACATGAACATTTGAAGTTTCTTTTATTCAATTTTCAACAAATTTAATCCGCAACTGTGTTGTCTTGTTCTTCTGTTCTTCTTAGTTCAAGTATAGACTGTGTTCAGTAAAGTTGGACAAGTTGAACAGCTGGTGTTCTGAGATACTTTTTAATTGACAACGAAAAAGTTTCACAATGCAATGACTTCTTTGAGGTATTTGCCTTTACAAAGTTGCATTACAGTACATTTTTAAATAGTCATTAACATGAATATATTTTGAGACGATAAGTTTTTGAATATTTTATTTTCATATTTTAGGAATTGATTAAAAGTTTAGGTACTGGTATGGAAACTTCAATTTCAAGCTCTAATATAGCAGCTAATGTAACTAATATCATTTAACTTACAATATCATTAAAATA